AAGTGGAAGCCCCAGATTCGATGTTTTTTGTTTCTCTTATTATTATTCTGACACTACTTTCCGATACACCTGTTGCCTTTGCTACTTCCACTCCTATGTTCTTCACTGTAATTGTTTACCCACCCTCTTTCATATACTTATATACATTACTAACAATTTCTCTTGATTGTGAATGCAACACTTTTCCACTCAATTTACTTTGTGTAGGTGGCATGTTAAAGGAGATAGAAAAAATGTAGATATATAAATATACAAAAAAGAAAGTCAACGAGTAAAAATAAGCAATAAAATAAAATATTAAGACAGTAATGAGAAAATAATACACTCAAATAAGACTCCAATTGTCAAAACTTTTTAACTTGACTGTACAAGGAAGACTGCTCTTGAGAAAATAATACACTCAAATAAGACTCCAATTGTCAAAACTTTTTAACTTGACTGTACAAGGAAGACTGCTCTTGAGAAAATAATACACTCAAATAAGACTCCAATTGTCAAAACTTTTTAACTTGACTGTACAAGGAAGACTGCTCTTGAGAAGTGTGCTTGCACTGAGTGTAGACGAATGACTAATCAGAACACCCCTCAACTTTCAAGAATGGACCTGCCCATCCACTGCGCAGCTTTTCCTGGACTGTCACCTCTAAATGCTAGAACTTTACTTAAGTCTTCTTGAACTGAACCTCCTGAAGCACTTGAATCCTTCTCTACTAAGCTTCGAGTGCTTCGAGGCACAACACTTGACAGCAGCCACTAGCGCCAGTAGCCGGTAGCCACCACATTCATTCACCACGTAACATGATGGCGGATCGTGTCTTACTACAGGAAGTTTGTTGCGTTTGTTGTATACAACAGGATGCACGAAATGAAAAAAAGTTTGTTGTATATTTGTATGTTGGTATGCCTAGTGTGATATTTTCAGAGGTTTCAGAGTTTCAGAGTTTGTGTATGTTGGTAGCGTTGGTAGTCAGTAGGTCAGTAGTGTGGTAGTGTGCAAGAGAAATGAACATGTTTGGAACGTTGAGAGGGTTTAGAGCGTGTATGTTTAGTACAGGGGGTGAAACTCCCGTAGGCAGTTATGTACGTCGGATAGGTGAAATGATTATGGAGTTGTAGGCGAGTTTTTGAATGAGAAATGTGTATCTGCATGAATTCCTACTGAAGTAAGTTTTATTATTATGGCAGGTGAATTGCGTAATAATTGATTGTGTCTATTGCGCGAAACGGATTTAAACACCCTGGCACTGTGTGCTTTTGAAAATCACAAAATCTGCAATGTTGCAAAACCGAAGGGCAATGTAAATAGAAGTATTTAGCGCTTCATATTTCCATTTGGTCGTCAGTGAAATTCAGTGGAAAAGTAATCTTCAAACAGAAAAGAACTAATACTTTTTTTTTACTACTCTGTGATGTCAAGTGTTAGAATAAAATGGATTTCATAAGGTGAAGTTATCCCGGGGTTTTAATTACGCACCGAACCACCAAAGACGTATGGGGGTGCGGCGGTATGGGGTTATAAAAGAAACAGCTACGCAGTTCAACGTCTACAGACATTCAGAAATCTGTAATGACAGTGAAGTAAATTATTTTGTAAGGTGCCATTGGAATATTAAAGAAATGATTGTGCATAAAACAGAAGAACTATATAAATTAATAAAATATTGTTAAGAGCCCGTTCCAAGTAGTAAGACTTTCTAATGGCGTATTTTAGCATCCTTTTGCAGTTGGTGTTAGATAATGCCCACACTGCACACTAGATTGACTAGATAGACAACATCCGTGCCAGAAACGATAATACATGTGGCATAGAAGGAGGAACTACATTGACTGCATGTAGAAACACCATTCATAGTAGTTCAGAAGGCACAGCATTTCATGCAGAATTTCAGCACACCCGATGATGGTTGGGTAGGCTTAAACATATAGTGCAGTGACAAATTTTAAACGGATTTAATTTAAACATTGTTGCATGGTGGATGGTAAACAGAGCTAAATATAAATTCTGAGACTCCCTAGTATTGCGGAATCAAGATTTCACCATTGCATGGGTTTCTGTAGAGGCATAAAACAGTCCATGCAACAGACTGCAGTTTAAACAAGATGTTGCCTGTTAAGCAGAAGCAGTAGGCCTGTAACATATTCCTGTTGCCTTGTCACAGGACTGACCTCTGCCCCTACTGAAGGCATCTTTTTGGTCAGTGTGCAAATAACTTGGGACCCTGCTGCTCATATTTTAATGACCGTTATTTCTGTAATTGAAAGAACGTGAACTGTAGAGTGAGAAAATCATGGCTAATTCTGGGACTGTAAAATATAGGAATGGGTAATATTGTATTTAAGCATCCTGTTGCATTTATATATCTTTCATGCACAATATATTCAGTCCTCACTGCGCCTATTTTCACTTTATTTCTCCCCCTTACTACATGTTTTATTCAGCCATCCACAAACAAGAGCTAACAACCTCATACATGGGGGCATGGAGCAACATATGACTAGGAACAAATGATAACCCAAAGAAAGGGCTTACGAACAGAAGCAACACACGAACACCAAGCTACAACATAGAACTATATCATTTTAACAAGGGGACGATGCCCCCTAGTATAGGTGCAAGAATCATATAATCTTAACCAAAATTAAATTTGATAGTGAGTGACATTAATCAGTGCAGATGAGTATCGAGTGTACATCAAGCGAATTAGGCAAGAAATATCACATTTGCACATGTATAAATAAGTGAACATTTTATACAGTGCAACAATTTTGGTGTAGACAAAACACCTGATGATGGCTGTTTGAGGCCAAAACCTGTCGTATGGAGGAGAAATAAAAGTGAAAATAGTTGCATTGAGGACAATGTATTCTGTGTGATAGCAATGTGTACATGTGTAGAAGCCAAGAATGATGCTTCTCTGAATGTGTTTAACCATCTCAAATATAAAGGCTGTGCCATAGCTCAAGCAGTTAGTTGCTGGCTTCCTGGGCTTGATCCTGATTCTGGTCAAGTGGGATTTGTGGTGGACAAAGTGGCGCTGGGGTGGGTTTTCTCTGAGTACTTCGGTTTCCCCTGCCAATCTTCATTCCACCAAATTCTCCATCATAATCACCCTGGGCAGGTACAATAGGCCAATCAGTGGCCGCCATGCCGAGTGGACGCAGCTGGACTCCACCCCCTACTAAGTGAAATCTCAAATATAAAATGCCTTGAAATTGACAAGTTGGTATACAAGTGAACCTGCTCAGGTGTTTCAAGAGATCCATTATTGCGTAGTGTAACATCTGCAATAATTGTACAGACGAGTCACATATTTTCAGTGGCACGCAGTAGCGTAGTTGGTTGAGGCACTATGCTACAAGCTGACAAGCTGGAAAGTCACAGGTTCAATTCCCAGTGAGGTCATTGGATTTTTCAGTTGACCTAATCCTTCAATGGTCCTGAGTTTGACTCAACCTCTAACAGAAATGAGTACCAGGAATATTCCTGGGGACTAAAGGGCAGCCAGCACCTAGGGCTGACAACTTAACCACCATCTGCGAACCAATTGGCTAGAGAATGTGGGAGCCTTGAAGTCTCACAATCGTATGGGCCTCCACGCCTGTTACAGTGATAGTGTTACCTCTTGTATAGACTTTCAAATTCAGCACTGCATGGAATGGCTTAATGCCACTCATTTGTCCCAGCAGAAACTGAGTCTCCAATTATAAAACTTGTTGCAAGTCATTAACAGTCCTGTGCATGATATGCAAGTGAAGAATTGCCAAAGCCATTGGTGTGTGGGGCGTGAAGGCATGTCTGTAGCATTACATGTGCCTGCCCTCTGTTCATTTGGGTTGGAATTGCAAGTAAGGAGAAGCAGATGGGCCAGGCAGCAGACTCCTATTATTTGGGGTGGGCTAGTCAGAAATCCGGGATAATCATCACTTGCTTCCAAACTGGGATTTGTAAAATGACACATTTATAAGTGTATCTTACTCTAATGCGATTTGTAGAAACATGAATGTGTTTTCTGTGAAGCTTCTGTTCTGTTTGTGCACATTAGAAGGAAAAACTGGATGGAAAAGCCTTGAATTTCCAAGTAAATAAAAAGGTATTAAAGTTGTCCTTGTGCTTAACTAATTAAACACTACACCATGAAGACATAGGGGGGTGTGGATTTATAGATTCACATATTCTTGACCATCCCACTAGCTGGAGATGAGTAATCAGCGAGGACCAGCGTGGATGACATGGAGGGGAGAAAAATCTTTCCCCTACCAGGACATGAATTCTAACACCTTGGTCATCCATCCTGTAGCCAGTTGCTACACTGACTGAGCCATCCCAATTCCCTTCCAAGTACATATTCAGACACAAAATGAAACTTCTTTTATTTTGTACTTGTTCCTTTTCAGAAAGAAATATCACATGAAGTTTTTACTGTTTGACGTGGGACACACAAGTTAGTATTCTAAATCAGTCCGTGGATAATTGTGAGTCTACTGTATTGTAGACCCTGATGTTTTAAGTTGTATGTAGTCTTCTGCAGTACGAGACTGTATTGTCTAGTGCATGGTCAGGTTGAAGCTGAAGGCTGACAGCGGGTTCCACTGGAACATTTGTACTCCTTCCAGATGACATGGTGTCATACCACAGAAACTGCAAACATCAAATCTCATGAATTCTGGTGATTAATATGAATACTGCCATCTGGCATCATAACATGGATTTTATAAAGCCCGAACCTGATCCAGATGAGGCTTGTGTTCTACCATCATCCCCAGAGATGGAAAACGAGGTGAGCTATGTTTGCCCATTGCTAAACACCTACAACAACAGTGTACATGTGGCCTCCATTTCATATTTTTGAAATCCTTGAGTGATTTACTCCCTTTGTAATTTTGCAGGCAGTGTGCAGCTGCTGGTTGCTCAGTTGTTTTTATGTTTGTGCATACTCTTTTATCTCTCCTAACACCAAACTGTTTCATCCAGCTTTTTAATATTAATTACCATCTGAATAGACTATAATTTATTAATATATTAGGATGGGTCTGTGCTGATGGGGTATAACGTAAGTACCGTAGCGTATAGAGGCGTTACTGTGAGATGACCATGAGGTTGGCAGATATACCAGACCCGTTTCTAGGCAACAGCTCAGTGAAAATGTTCCCAGAGCAACAACAGAGGAGCTATGTTTTCTATGTGGTCCTGGCTAAGATGTTTAGAGCTTAGTTCTGTGTGATTTGTCTCTGTGTTTATTTCTAAACTAACCTTCTTACTAGTGTCAACTGGATATTTTATATCTATCTTTATGGTACTGTCACATGTATGAGATGGAGTTTGGATTGGTGAATGGATTTGTTGACCACTTATACACATGACTCAAAACAACAAGCAGTTACAGCACCACCACTAATCTCCATGATTCACAAGTTACCACAACACCTGCTGAGCCTCTTCCAGCCTGCTGTGTCTTCACCAGCTCTCCCCTAGCAGTGGCTTCTAACAGTGGAGATTCTTCAGCTTCACGTGCTCAGGTCCTCTTGTCACAGATTTGCAAGTGTATGTAGGTGTCTCATCGCAGCACAGCAGAACCAGCCAGGGAACTTGCAGGCCACTTGTCTGAGCCCTCCATCACAGGTGACACACAGTGCGGAGCTCGTGGTGACTCTTTAAACCAGATATGTGAGGATGTCAGGTTGCGGTGGAAGAGTCTGGCGTTGTCTTCATCCAATTGCAGTCCACTCAGCACTTTGCTGAAGAATATGATGTCGAAGCTGAAAAGCTGCCATCAGGATCCTCCACAGGTTTTCTGTGTAAAGGATGGAGTTGTTCAAGTTCTTTATGTAGTGTGAGGAGTTACCCAGGTGTGGTGGCACCATTAGGCCTCCAAGACTGTTCTGCAAAGCTGTAGGTGGGGCTGAGGGGGACCTCTTGTCTGTGTTTGGGAAGCCATACAAGGTGTCCCAGGAGGAAATATCAATATTCTTGGAGGTCATTGTGTCAGTCATTCTAAGCATAAAAGTGTATATGCACATGTTACCTATTCCAAACAGTTTCTGAGATACAGCTGTTTTACTGTAGAGTTCAGAATTGTTGAAAATAAATATATATTATGTACTGTTTCTAATACTGGTATTTACTATTCAACAGAGAAAGTTGGTACAGGTCACCTAGTATAATACATTTTCGAAAATTCCACCGTCAACATCAGTGCACTTTTCAACTCATGTGAGGACATCGCACGTTACTAGTCTGTACAGTGAAATAACTCTATCTCGGAAACTGTTCTGAATATGACATATGCCCTATTTTGCTTAGAGTGACTGATACTGTGACCTTCCAGAATACTGACGACGCCTGTATATGTATAGAGCCTCAGTGGTGCTTAATCATGTGATTGCAATTGGTGAGTTGTGTGTTCCAGCATTGATGACTTTTTGATGAACATGTTAGTTTAGCATTCCATGGAGTGCATGGGATTCCTTTCTAGGAGTCTTTGTTTGCTGGATTGTCTGGAAGACTAGTGACCTGTCTCTCTGTCTAGTGTTGAAGGGACTAATGGTATTGGTCTTGTCTGCTGTCAGATCCTCTGCTCTCGTATGATTATCTCTGGGTGTGCTTGAATGTTTGGAAAATTCTAATGGTTTTCTGTGAACTGCCATTGTGTTGGTCTGTGCACTCCAGTCTTGATGTCAAGACCTTGATGGGCCTTCATTCATTGTCTATTGTCTTCTGAAGAAGTGTGGAGAGCTCTCATATATGTTGCTGTCACTTAGGGTCTGGTCCTTTACTTCACTGCTTTAAAGACATGAAAACAGAAAAAGGTGTACACTTGATATTGAACCTGGGAAGCTTGCTTACTTGGTGATGTACAGTTTTAGGGCACCCACTGTTTTGTTTCTAGAGGCATCCAATTTGTTGTATAAACTGTTAGAAGTTTCACTGTGGAATCAGATATTTTGCACAGTGTCTGCTGTTTTGTGTGTGCGCATTGCATGCTCGCGTGCGGAAACAACAGAAATATATCATCTGACAATTATCTTGCATTTATAATGTTTGCAGCAGAATACAGTAATCAAGGAAGAAGAAGATGATGTAGATGTTCTGAGTGAAGACTGCATTCACATGAAGTTTGAAGAGGTTTATATACCATCAGCATTTCCCATAGAAAAGGTTGAACCTGAGGTGAGCCTTGTATACGGATGTTTTGTTCATGTTTTCCCTGTATGTGTCTTTCTACAAAACATTCTTAATATTATGTCAAATTTAGAAACAGGCTGTAGTAGTGTTAATTCATGTGACTGGAATATTTTTGCTGTGAAACAGAAAGAAGCAACAAAACGTGTACGGCCTCTGCATTTCTGCTGTGGTGACCCAAAGTATGTTTGTCTGAATTGGGTTATGTATGTGTTCATTTAACTGATGTGGTAGGACATACATACTGTACAGGCTAACACAGGAATGCTTTTACAAACCAGTAAATGGATTGGACTGTCAGTGAGCAGAGATGTGTGTTTGTCGATGCAGCATAGCTCCAGCGGCACATGTTCCCAGTAGTGAAAAGGAAGTTTTGTTGTGCAGTTTTTGTTGGAAATGGGTCTCTCGATGTAGGAAAAAGTATTCATAGTTGAGTATTATTTCTGCTCATACGGAAGTGGTCGCCAGACAACTCGCTTCCTTGGTTTTGAGTGGCCAGATGTTATCTGTACTACATAGTACACGTGTGACGATATGGTGTGCTGTCTCAGCACATGGTACATTAGGCTCATATTTCATTGAGGATGAGGAAGGCAATGCTCTTACCATCACCCAAGAACGCTACAGGGACATGGCGATCGGACCATTTCTTCAGGATTTGAGAAGGTTCTGTTGTGCAAGGGGCCTTCACATGAATATACAGTGGTATCAACAGGACGTCTTTTCATTTCAGTACTGAATTTTTGGCGCATACTTTATTTCAGAATCAGAATTCATCTGTCCATAATTTAGTAATGTAATTATTTTGAAATGATCTTATTACCCCCAAGAATATTCCTGGTACTCATTTCTGTTAGAGGCTGAGTTGACCGCTGGGCCATAGTGTGGCTGGGAGGATTAGTTAAATTGAAAAAATCCACCTCATTGGGACTCAATCCTGCGACCTTCCGGCTTGTAGCATAGTGCCTTAACCAACTATGCTACCACGTGCCCCAGATGTTAGTGAACAGCTGTGGCAAATCAGGATTAAATTAATGAAGTCATTTACTGCAGATTAAATTTAGTAAATAGTTGTTGATACCATTCAGTTCAGAATCTGATGTCTTCCCATCACTAAAATCAAAGTGTATAGCTTGAATTAGAACTAAAATTTTACCTTTTTGCTTTATGTGCGTGTTAAACTGTTTGAGGCAATAAATGAAGAATTTATATAGATCTTGGGGGGGGGGATCAAGCACTGAGTGCTGGGAAGAATATGTGTACATTAGAGGGACAAAATATGAAAGCTGTATGTTAAGGAGCTTCATCTGACATTACTGTGATCAAGTGAAGAAATGTTGGTGTGAGTGATGGATGTAATACTACTGAAAGACATGTGAAAAGATTTAAAAATTTCAATCAGAAAATCTGATAGTGAGAGAGGATAAGTATAGGGTGATTATAAATGTTCTAAGTGGTTTAAAAAATACTGTAGTAAAGCTGAAGGCACATAGAAATGAAGTTTCTACCACTGGAAAGAGCAACTCATAAACTTTATAAGTGAAGAAGCAGAAGTTAGATAACTTCTGCACTGCCCAATGGGAGCCCAACCATGCGAAATGAAATAGTGTTTCATGTACTTGCATTTCAGTCCGGATAATGTGTGACCACTGTTCAGTGGAATGGTCAGGGAAAGTACCAGAAAAATCTCTCAAGTGCTAATTTGATTTGTTCATTGGATCAACATGGGGCCCATTTCTGAGTGCCACATACTCAGATAACCGTTCTCAGGTTGTGACTAGAATGGAATTGATATTCCGTCACTTCCTGCAGTTATGAAAAGTTCAGAGGACAGAATGTGAAATGATATTGGGATAGTTCCTCATCACTTGCTGCAGAATTTTACACAGAAAACAGAATATCACTTTGATAAGTGCAGAGCTGCAAATAAATGGAGCATAATTTGAACTCAGTATTGTATCAAAGAAATTTTGAGTTGATCTTTGTAGTGGCTTAAGTTTAATTTCTGTATGCCTTTCAGTATACGAACAGCAGCAGGATCTGTAATCATGGTAGTGGATCTTTGGTGCATAAAGGGTGGGACTCTTTAGACTTTCCTTGCAGTATTAGCTTCTCACGAAGAACTTTGCTGCATGCATTAGAAATAAGAAAATGGTTTCATAATTTTGTTTTGTGATATAAGCTCCTGTCATCTAACTATATAAACATTACAGAATAGTCTTACATTAAAACAGTCTATGACAATGTAAAAAGTTGTCCCTGTGCTTAACTGTGCCTTGAAGGCATATGGAGGTGAGTGGTCACCTACTCCCTGTGTGTGGCAGTGTTGGTGTCTTTAATTAAATGTTGTATGGAATATTAAATTATGATTCAGACTGTAGTTGTATAGTTTCACAGTGAGTTATTTCTGGAATTGGAAAGACATGAAGTTGTTCAACAAGTCGTTATGGATAGAAATGGTTCTTTGGTTGTTATGATGCCCAAGTCCGCAGCATGAATGACTCAAGAACAAATTTAACACAGTAATTCGAGAGCCTAAACTGCTCTCATTTTGCTGAACTTTTCTATTGAAAGTATGTACTGTTACATGTAATGAAGAAGTACGGCTGCGACTTATAAAGGATATGGTGGCTTTTGCAGAACTGCACAGATTTACTGAAAGTTGTGTCTGCTTCAAGTAGTGAGACATGTTTACAATTGTCTCATGATGGAAATGAGTTCATCAGTACAAAAATTGAAGCCATAGATCCACAAGAGGAGGATGGACAAGTGTCAAAAACATTTACGGGAACAGAGGTTGGACAAGAGGTGAGTTCTGTGTATGTGTGTCAGGCTCATTTCACACGCCTCATTATTTGCCTGTTGTATTAACACCTTGAATAGTAGAATTAAAATGTGATAAAGTGCATCCTGTTGTGTACATGGTGTTTAGTTACCTATGTTACAGCCATCGACCCAATAAGTTAGTATATAAGAACCACAAGACAGAAAGCGTGAAATGGTACAAAGAACCCCCCCTCCTCCTCCAGCACATCGACACACATCTGTGGAAGGTTGCACATGCCTAAGCACAACCACCTCACAAACAAGTGAAAGTGTAACTAATAACATAAGTTGCACCTCAATTCACGAACTTTTAACAACAATAATAATTAAAAACTAGATGCTGCAGCGAGCGTAAGTAAAAATGGCACCGAAAAACAAGTGAAAATGTAACCAGTGACATGAATTAAACCTCGATTCATGAACTTTTAACTTTTAACAATTAAATTAGAATAATAATAATAATTTTAACCTGTGTTTTATAAAAGAACTCGATATATTAGTGAGCGTAAGTCTGGAAAAGATACAAGGTCGAATGAGTGAAAAGTGAATGTGACCGCGTGTAATTATACAGCCGTGTTCATACACCCGAAGATGACCTCTTGAGGTTGAAACATGTAGTGATAATGTGATAAAAAACGTGTTGTGTAGTCGGTAAATTTACTCTACTATTGAATGTAGCCAGAATTTTAAATACAATGTGCAATTAATACTTCTATACCATTATATTATTCTCATTGCTATACTTTTATGTCTTTTTAGTCATAACCATAATACATACTTACTTATGGAGCTGAGCCCTTCTTGAGGAGAAGCCAAATCTGCAGCTACTCAAAAATTTCCCAGCATTTTATGGAACCCGAAGGTTCATTACCGTGTTCACAAGAGCCCTCCACTGGTCCCTATCCCAATCCATATCAGTTCAATCCATACCATCCCATCCTGTTACTCTAAGATCCATTTTAACATTGTCCACCCACCTATGCCTTTGTCTTCACAGTGGTCTCCTTCCTTCCGGCTTTCCCACCAATATCCTGTATGCATTCCTCTTGTCCCCGATTCGTGCTACATGCCCTGCCCATCTCATCCTCCTTGACTTGGAGAAGAGTACAAGTTATGAAGCTCCTCATTATGCAATTTTCTCCAACCTCCTATCACTTCACCTCTCTTTGGTCCAAATGTTCTCCTCAACACCCTGTTCTCAAACACCCCCAGTCTATGTTCTTCCCTTAATGTCAGAGGCCAAATTTCACACCCGTACAGAACCACAGGCAAAATTATAGTTTTGTATATTTTAATTTTTATGTTTTTGGACACCAGACGAGAAGACAAAGGGTTCTGGACTGAATGGTAGCAAGCATTACCCGAGTTCAGTCTCCTCTTAATTCCCTTCTCAATCAGGTTTTGATTTGTATTGTCATTCCCAAATATCTGAACTGTGCCACATTTTCAAAACACTTGCTTCCCTTCGTTATGTCATGATTTTGCCCTGCATTTTGGTGACGAGACAGCAACATATACTTAATTTTCTCTGTCTTTACTTCTAGACCAACCTCCTTGTGTCAGTTAAAATTGTGTGTTTTTCTTTATGGTATCTATATTATCACCCAATAGATTCACATCATCGGCATAGACCAACATCTGATGTGTCCCGTTTAAACTTCAACGGACGTACTTTTAAATTGCCCTAATTAATCAACATTGCAACTTTTCATAAAAAAATACATATTTTCCGTTCTATGTAACATAGAAATACGAACTAAAAACAACCTGAAAGACAATAAAATTTTTACAAACGAAAATTAACTGTGATTATTTTGTCATGAAATGCAAAATATAATCTTTAATATATATGTTATGAAATTCCAAAAGCCTTACCCATTGTTTTTTTTCAACCTTGAATCATGGTGATATTGTAAATATAATCACACTATATACAGTAATATTTTGTTGAGACTGTACATGAGTTTTAAATGCGTCACTTCACAGTTTATGATACTCTCGCACTCTGACATGCGTGGAACTTCTCGAAGAAGTTCACCTCACACAGAGCAACATAACACTTTTTACAATAGAAGAGCGTGCTCCTGCTTTTCTTATTTAGCGAAACACGTGACGTCTTTGTTTCCCTTTGGTGGGCCAGTGATGTGAATGTTTCACCTCCAGTCGACTCAATTGGGCCCCGGATAACCTTGGCCTCCCCCGAGAAGTGCCACTGACTGTGATATTTGCCTTGTGTGATTGAAGAGTCATCTTGGGGGAGGGGGGGTTCCAGCAAAATTGAATAAATTATGTTGATTGACAAAGCGACACTCTCACCTGTTAGTAATACTTGTGAAATAGTGATGCAAAGTAATTATAACACTAGTCGAAAAGAGTGCCAGTCCGACACTGATATCGAAAGTCACAGTGGCGAAGATGCCCTTTACTCACAAAGTAATACTGGATCAGGTTTATACCTTTTCCAAGACGCAAAATAAAAATGATATGCAAAGAAATATATGACAGTCTGACACTGAATTTTTAACTGATTGGACAATCTGACACTGACTTCCTAACTGATAAGGAAATATTAGACAATCCGACACTGACTTCCTGACTGATAATTTGCCACTGAAAACCAATCCTTGAATGCGTCACACTTCCTTGAAGGCTCTGGAAGCACCCACATGCAAGCACTGATGAATATTTCCTCATCAGTTCTCGAAACAAAGCTGGGTTATATTTGGCTGACAAGGTCATAAACAGTCATATCTAAACGTAAATAGTATCGAAACCAGTACCCTGATAAATGATTTCATTGTTCAGAGCTAACAAATGAACCTCTGACATGACCTTCCATGGGTTTGGTTTGGGTTCAAACCCAAGTTCAAACTGTCAGCACTGCCAAAGAGAACATGTGTCCTGCCGCATATATATATAAAACATTTGGCCAACATAGGGTACTGCTTGCTGCATATATATATATTGTCACGTGTTTGGAATCCAGGAGTCACTTCCATAGTAATGCCAGAACAGACCGTTGCATAGGTAGCGACAATAGCGGTATTGTAGCCCCAAGAGTTGGCTGTTGCCTAGGAAGTAACAATAGAGATACTGTAATTCTAACAGTGAGCATTGCATAGAGATGAGTTTCCACGGTTATAACAAAGGCTCATTTGCATAGCAGCGACCGAAGTTATAAAAAGGGTTGAATGCATTCGCCCAGTCAGTCTGGAAGTAACCACCGAAGGAGTCAGTCTGGAAGTAACCGCCAAAGGAGTCAGTCTTGGGATAGCTACCGCCGAATATAAACAGTCTACAGGAAGCCGCCACCAGAGACAGTAGAGATCCAGCCACGACAACATAAGCAGCAAAACATTGGGCCAGGAGCTAAGCGAAATAGAATTAGTTGTGATACTGCAAGTGGCAGTTCTTGCAAAGTGTATAAGTGTAAAGGCGAAGAACAATAGATACTCGCGTGACGTGCCCAAACACGTTACAATATATATATATATATAACATTCGGCTGTTAAAGGCTAATTTCAGTCCCACCTGCTTTTCCTGGACCTTCCTAATGGCATATTCTAAAGCAAAGTCGAAAAGGAGTGGCAATAAAGCATCTCCTTGTTTTAGACCATTCTGGATAGGAAATTTATCAGACAAATGTTTACCTACACGGACTTTACTGTAAGTTTCGTGTAAACACATTTTAATCAGCTTAACTAGTTTCATGGGTATCCCAAACTCTATCAGAATATTGTACAGTACTTCCCTCCTAACTGAATCATAGGCTTTCTTGAAGTCTATGAATAGCTGATGTACTGTCTCATCGTACTCCCATTTTTTCTCCAATATCTGATGAATGCAAAAGGTCTGATCTGTAGTTGATCTGTTATGTCAAAACCCACAGTGATGATCCCCAGTAATTTAATCTATATATGGACTTAACCTTGAGAGAAGAATATTGGATACAATTTTATATGAAGTTGATAGCAGTGATATCCCCCAATAATTACTACAGCCAGTTTTATCACCCTTCTTGTGAACTGGTACAATAGTAGATTCCTTCCACTGATCAGACAGTTCTTCCTTATGCCAAATCATATCCATAATAATGAATTTTATTAGAATATTAAGTTGTAGATCTATGTTCACTATATAAATATATGTATGTAGGTTGTACCAAAAGTCATGAGGAACTATTTTTTGCGTGCAACCTGGAAACAGCAGACGAAAGAGAGTACGGTGGTAGGTGGAACCAGCTGTTGTGTTAACCTTCAGTGTCTTGTGACGTCAATAGCTTGCATCATGTGACCAGTATCACTCCTAACAAAATGGCCAACGATGTCCTTTCACCAGCGTGCTGTCATCGAATTTCTTGTGAAAGAGGAAATCCCTGCTGCAGAAATCCACCAGAGACTTCAGCATGCTTATGGAAGTGTGTGAATGGGTGTGAGCAGTGTTCGAAGATGGGTGAAACATTTTAAAGATGGGAACACCAGCATCGAAGATGAGCCTTGGTGTGCTTGTCCTCGAACAGCCTCAACTGAACGCAACAAGGAGAGAGTGGATGAGATCATTCAAGATGACAGGCATGTGAATGTGGACACAATAGCCCGAAAACTTGGAGTAGGGCACAGTGCAGTACAGGAGATGATTGAAAGCTTGGGCTATAGGAAAGTTTGTGCTGGTTGTGTCCTGCTGTTATTGACCAAAGACCACAAAGTTCAGCGAAAAGCCATCATCTCAGAACTGCTGCAGAGATATCGACACAAAGGTGATGATTTTTTGCTCTGTATTGTGACAGGTGACGAAAGCCGGTTTCACCATTTCGAGCCTGAAACGAAATGGCAGATTATTGAATGGCACCATTTGCATTCTCCATCAAAGAAGAAGGCAAAGACAGTGCCATCAGCTGCGAAGGTGATGGGCACAGTCTTCTGGGATGCAAAGGTGTTTATTCTGGCTGAATTCCTGGAACCTGGGCAAACCATCAATGCTGCTCGTTATGTCCAGACACTGCACAAGCTCCGTTGTGCATTGCGCGATAAATGTCTGGGACGAAACATCATCATCCTGCATGACAACGCTCGCCCCCACGCCGCTCACCTCACATTGGAAGCAATTGCAAAGATGGGGTGGGAAGTTCTTCCAGGCCCCTCCTATAGCCCTGATCTGGCACCTTCCGACTACCATCTTTTCAGATTTGTGAAGGATCAGCTGCGTGGACAACATTTTGAGACAAGGGAGGCAATTCAGAAAGCAGTGCATCAGTGTCTTCCTATGGCTGGAACGGAATTTTACAGAAATGTGTTCAGAGAAGTGGCGATTATGTGGAAAAATAAAGAAAGGTCTGTAGATTGAGGTGGTGTATTTGGTTTGTCAATAATAAAGCATGTTACTTTACAAAAAATTGTTGCTCATGATTTTCAGTATGACCCCTCTTATATTTTTGCTGCCAACAAAGCCATCAGTTGCAAGAATATGGATTTGTATCATAGTTATTAATTTTTAATCACCTGAGTTAAGTGCCTGATGATGACTTAATTATATGGTCCAAACATGTAAAACAAGTTACGTTTACATTAAACACATAAGACATATAGCAGCATCTGTTGTCTTCATTGAAGATATAACCAGATTGTTTGTTGTGTTGACGGTTGTAACATAAGTAATTAAGTAGAATTTACATTCCCAGGTGCTTTCCAGAGTCAAAATATTTAAGCCCATTACAGGCTGTAATGCATTGCTTTGATTAAAGAATTTGTGTTCCAGCTATTTTTTGTTTGAAATTTTTTTGGGGGTGGGGGCTCCGTGATTTTAGTCTGCAAGCGAACTATACTGACCGAGCGACCGCCGCTTGTCGGTGAAGTTTAGTGCCAACTTTTGCGGATAGAGGGTACTGCGTGGTTAGCGCCACGAATCCTCATGGCCATTAATTTCGGTTTTCTAGATAGGAGCCGCTATTTGCTTGAAGTAGCTCCTCAATTATCACATGGCTGAGTGGACCCCGTTTCAGACGCACTACTTCTCAGAAGAAATCTGGTAGCACCGGGAATCGAACCCGGACCTCTGGATCTGTAGCCAGGAATGCTGACCACTAGACCACAGAGGTGGTCATGAAATTTAGAAGCAGATGAAAAACATTAATCACTCTCCCTCCATGCATTTTGTCTCCAGTGTCACATTAAAACCTATGAAATAGCCTCCCATCATGTGGGTTGGGATGTGTGTTAGTGTGTTCGGAAATACTGTGTAAAATGTAAAATGAAGCTTTTGTGAATTGTAACCCCGTGTTTGTTAGAACTGTATATTTGGAGTTTTGTGGTGCCATGCTTTATCTACATCTGGTTTCTGTTATTCTCACCATAATGTGAATGTCTATTGGCATGGTTGAAGATTACTTGCCAGTCATCTCCGCTACTGAAAACAAAGCTGAGGGCTGTTATCACAGAGGTTCTGCAACATGAGAACCCACTGAATGTCTCAGTTACTTTGGATGACTGATGAATAGTAATTTTTACACAGGCTGGGTACAAGTGTTAGTGTAGAACTGTTTTGAAACTACAAGCCACGGAGGCCACTTTTTTTAACCATTTGCACCATTTATATTTTCCCTGTTTCTGTACATTTGGGCCTATTATCTCACATGGCTGTTAAATGAGACATAAATGTTATGTCTCATTTTGCAAGAATGTGGGTTGGATGACAGAGAATTGACACTTTCTTATTTTGAACAAGACTGTGTAATTACATATGTAATTGTGCCTTGGAATAGGTCAAGACCTTCTTTTGGGGCTACAGTATTCTTGAAAGGATGTTGGCTGCCCCATACTGGCTCCAGTAGGCTTATTCCTATGTGGTCTACTCTTCATTAAAAAACAAATCTCACACTGTTGAGACACTGGTCTGTGTCTCTCTCCAGGTGGTGGGCAGAAGCTGCACTTGTGTTCATCCAGGTGCCTTGACATTACTAAGTTATACTTTGCCAAATATAAATTTCAGCAATAAGTAAATTAATTATTGTGAGATTTTGTAAGTAATTAGTTTGGGGCCTCCTCTGGGTGAGTCACTCTGTGCAGTTCCAATATCCTCTCTACCGCAAGTTTTTTTCTTATCCTGTAATGAGATTAGTAAGAAATTAATCCTTGATTTGAAAGGTAATTGTTCTTAATGATGTTTATTTCCCTACTCATTAGAGCCTTCTGAGTGAACATCTGTCCACGCATGCAACTAAGAAGGGCGCTTGCTTGTGTGATGTGTGCCATAAATCCTTCACTGTTCAGAGCAGGCTGAAGGTTCATCAACGTATACACAGTGGTGAGCGTCCATATTCCTGTGATGTGTGTCATAAATTATTCAGTGAAAAGAGTAAAGTGAAGAGACATCAACTTATACATAGTGGTGAGCGGCCATATTCCTGCCATGTTTGCAACAAGTCATTCAGTGTTCAGAGTAGTTTGAAGGTACATCAGCGTATACATCGTGGAGAGCGTCCGTATGCTTGTGATGTTTGCAATAAATCATTCAGAGAGCACAGTAAACTCAAGATACATCAGTATGTACATAGTGGAGAACGTCCATATATCTGTGATAAGTGCAATAAATCGTTCAGTGAGAAGAGTGTGCTCAAGAGACACCAGCGTGTACATAGTGGTGAGCGTCCACATTCTTGTGATGTATGTAATAAATCATTCAGTGAAGAAGGTAATCTGAAGAGACATCAGCGTATACACCTTGGAGAACGTCCATATTCTTGTGATATTTGTAATAAGTCATTTGGTGATCCGAGCGCTTTGAGAGGGCATCAGCGTATACATGGTGGAGAGCGCCCATATTCCTGTAAAGTGTGTAATAAGTCATTCAGAGAGCAGAGTAAACTTAAAGTACATCAGTATGTACATAGTGGTGTACGCCCTTATAATTGTCATATATGTAGTAAATCTTTTAGTGAGCGAAGTAAACTAAGAAGACACCAACGTGTACACAGCGCAGAGCATCTGTAATACATGGACATGTATAATAAATCATTGGGTTAGAGATACACACAGTCATATTGGTGAGCTGTGTAAAAAGTAACTGTATAAATTAAAAAGAATGAATGTGTAGGCTTAATAAGTGGTACATGAACACAAGTGCACACACAAATGTAGCAAAGCATGTTAAGCTATGTCTGATATATCAGAGTGACAGTCTGACGTGTAGTGGAATTAGGTAGCCTCGATAACAGACTGACTCAGCCTACATTACATGTTCCATGTATTCATGAGGATTCTTGCTACCCCGAAGCAGCTGTGAAATGTATGCCCATCACTAAATTACAAACTCCAGTAATTATTTCTCATCTTCAATCCACTGTAACACATTCATTCAGTAGTTACTATAGGACTACTACTATACCAGGACGATGGATAAAGTCTAAAAACCCAATATATCAGGACATTCATTCAGATTTGTTTATGCTGCTTTCTGATGGCTTCCAACATTGATAATTTGTATGCCTGTAAATGTAATCGTTTTCTTAACACTCTCAACACACTTGTATGAGGAATATGAAGTTTCCAAATCACATTGATTTGTATGAAGTTCATGCAAAACTTTCCAAACTCTTCCACTTTTCAACACTGCAGATAGCCTACTAGTTTTCTTCATGATGTACAGAACCTGGGCCCACTGGGAGGATCCTAGTGGTGCTTTACATGAATGTTTCATGTGTTAGCAGATTTAGTGTCTTTGAAGCATAATACACAACAACCTTGCTCTGCACTAGTGAAGTTCGCCATTTTGGTCCCGTGTGTCAGGGAATGCTAGTTGTGAAGGACTAGCACTTTCTGTTCTCATGTCTCATACCTGTTTACTGTTCTTCAAATGAATTGTAAGGCCTTCCAAATTTGTAAAGCTACATTTGGGACCTGTTGGAAGCTTTTACACAGCTACACAGTTTTCAGATTGGTAGATATTTCTCTAGTTACGTCTTAAGTGCAGTCTTTACTGAAAGGGGCTAGTTCAAAAGAAAAGGTCAGTGTCACAGTACAGAAACAGAGGACCCTAACACCTTGCTGTGTTCTATATATATTTCTTATGAATATCTTGGTTTATACCTCATAATTTGTATACAATTAGAAGTAGCACTGTTGGAAAGCTGTGTTCAGTCAGTATCACACAAAGATGAGGCAGAAAAGATGAACAATCTGATACAATTTCTGTATTTATAAGCTTCTTTATTTATAAATAGAATTATTGGCAACATTTTTTATAAATGTATGGTGTTTGTTTTTTCTTTTTTACTTTTATTAAATGTTGTATTTTAATGTCATCCCTATATCTTCCTATCTTGTTTCGTGCAGTGCCCAGTCCACAGTAACCCCATTTCACTAAACTAATAACAGAGATCTAAGCATTTTTAATTATATAAGGTGTGAGGTCAATTGTTTAATTATGTAATTAAACACTATGCCATGAAGATGTATGGGGAAATGAAGGTATAGCTCATTAATAGTTTAAAGATTGAAGTTCAAATATTGTCTGACCAATTTGTTTCCAAGCAGTTGTAACTTATATTCCTGAAAGTGAGAGATATTTCTTCAACTAACTATATATCTCAGTGTCCATATTGAGAAAATGATTGTCTCTCATGCAGTCAAGTTTGCCTTTAATGGAACTCAACAGGTAATTACCCCACTGTGTTTTCAAGAAGCTTATCACTAGACCAACGGAAACAAGTCTACGCTTTTCAAACACTACTTTAAGATTTTGCAACATCAATCACCTGAATGTGTTCTGCATGTTCTGTATAACTAATTAACTATAAAGCTGACTGAAAACAAACTTGGCATATTAAATTCGTTTAACCACATGTATTATAAATATCAACATGAATCAATTTAATTTAATATGAACTTAATATATGTTACTGCTGAGTGAGTGGTGGCAGTGGGGAAGGTAGGCAGAGTTGGGGATGACCCATTATAATTCCTTTGCCTGGTTCCACTATAGTCAAGATCCTCCACCCCAAGCGGTAGATCCTGAAGACTTAGTAGAAGGTTGAGAAACCCTCATCGTGGGCCATACAGAATCAGTCTACAGCCTGACACCACTCATGGAGCTGAGCCCTTCTTGAGAAGCTGCCAAATGTGGAGCTGCGCAACAACTTCCCAGCATTTTATGGAACCCAAAGGTTCTTTCAAACTAAGTTAATATTATGGTGTTGCTTCTAAAGTAATTTAATGTAAACAAACTAAATACTCATTAAAATGAAATAATGTAAAGATGAAGCAATTTCATCTAGCCATTTGAAATATAAAGTTGTCCCTGGGCTTAATTAATTAAACGCCATGCCATGAAGACATATGGGGGCGTGGAGGTATAGCTCCACCATTGACCTCGGCACCGGATGGGTGTGGATGGTTAGCTTCATGCCCCAACCACTATATCCCCAGGAAAAGAGCCATCAGATACCCACTGGATTTGAGGCTGGGTGGGCCCGAGACAAGATACTTAGAAGCAGTAACACATTCCACATATTCAGGACTTGCTCATTTCATATCTCAGGCAAACAGCAATTGCGTTGGCTTTTTCAGAAGAATGAAATTTAAGGTCAGAAGAACCTTCAATAGCAGTTGGTGTCCTTGGTCCATCTCTCTTTAAGAGACATTCCGCAATGGGCCACATACCCTGAGGTGTGACTTCAGCGTTACCTATCTTTGTTTCCCACCGTTCTAGTGCCTTTTTTCGGGCCATTCACCTGATTGATTTTGTGACCCAGTTGACTGCCATTTTACACGCTGGATCCCTGGTTTCTTGCCACATTTTTCATAGCCTCTGCTTATGTATTAACAAGCAATTTAGGCCAGGAAAATATGATGGTAACCGGTTGGAGGACTGCATTTTTATACCATTATCACTGAGCGGCGCATGGACCAGTTGGCGTTGGAGCTGTGATTATGGGTGATGATTGGGTAGCACTTGTGTTGGTGTCTAGAGAGTCAGGCTGCAAGCGATGTATAAATATTGCTGCAATTGAGAGCGCTGATTGGATAGCGCTTGTGTTGGTGTCCAGAGGCAAGTGATTTGTAAATATTGCCTGTTTTCGGTGCACTGTAGGAGGTTCCTACACACATTTTGTCTTCATTGCTACTTATGTCAAATTACTCCTAACATCACTTTTCTTGTAATTTTATTTACCTTCGTATTTATGGCACTGGTTTTTAATTTCAGAGTAAATGCCATGAATGCAGAAGTCCTTACTATAGTTCTGGAACCATTCAAATTTCTGTCATCATGAGGGCAAAGCGTTTGTCTTCTGTTTGTGCCATCTTTAGATGTTTCATGATCTGTTTCATTACAAGTTAAACATGTTAAAGTGTGCATATAGAAAGAATACACAGTTATGTACATTTGTGTGCACCACAGAAAGTGCATATAAAGAATATGGTGTGTATGGTGAAGCACAAATTCTTGTTGAAGACATTCTTGCGACATTATTTTGTATTTAGTTGGAAAATATGTACAGCGAATTGTTGAAATACGTTGTAGTGGGTTCAGGAGTGTCAAGTTAATATGAATTATCAAGTGCAATTTTGATGTGACAGATACATATAAGAGGGTGTACTTTCGCTACCTAACCTGTGAAGATTACTTGTGTGAGTGAATTGGTGGACACCATGGCATAGACTTTTTGTTTGCATTAGTGTAAGTACTTGCAATAAGACAGAGTGTGTGGTGAAGTGCAAGTTGCCATTGATGAAGATAATATTGCATTCATAACTTAGCTTTGGGTGACATACAAGTGTGTACCGTGACTGTTATAATGTGTGTTGTAGTGGTTACAAGAATGCCGAGTGATATGCCTTTGCCCTATAAAGAAATCAGCAGGTGAGCTTGTAATGAGCATTTCCTTTTTGCATCAAGAATATATGCTCGTCAGAAGATAGTGTTTGTAGTGAAAGACGTCAGTGATTCAAGAAAGTAGTGTTCTGTTCTGTTGCATTTATCCACAAGGGAATGAAGAGCTCCCCAGCTTTTGTAATTTCTTGCTTGCATCAAGAATAAATGCTTATATACCAAGGACGTGATGGTGATGAGACACATGTAGTCCTTGATATTTTTCTAGCAGTCATATTTCCTGGCATCGTGAAAAATATGAACAGTGATGTGTACAGTGTGTTATGTAACTTGCATAATGTTGCAGAGTGTAAAGGTGTTGTAAATCTTGTTTGGGCTGTAGTGTTGGACTGTGCTTAATGACTTACTTCTCTGTACTACCACCGATCTCCGGCCAAGATTTGAACCAGCGACTTCCAGAATAAGAAGGGGAAATGTTAACCATTCTACTAAGAAATTAGGCTTTGTTCTTTGCATGCACGGGCACTAAGACTTACTATATGGCCCCACAAGGCCATCTGGTGTAACGGTGTCCTTGTGGGGCTGGCCTGGGCGTGGAGATTTCAATGCTCGGTTGAACCCATGTGTTGGTTGTGTTTTGACAGTGGTCTGTCTGTCTGTCTCTTGGCTGTGCCATATTTTATTTTGCAGAAATTCTGAAGGGGGCCATGGAACTGTTTGACCTTACTCCTGAATCCCATTTCCATCAGAATTATACAGAAGCTGGTTATTTAAGTTACAACACACAGAGGTTCTCACGGTGTGAAGGTTCATATTGTGTGGCTTTGCAGATTATAAAACTGTACAATCACGTAAGTGGCCTCTGAAGATAGAGGGAGGATTTGTACCCGAAACATTTGTACAAATCTAACATAATAGACGGAATATAAATGGAGAAATCGTAATTTATGCTTATATATTGAGCCATTAGTGCTTCCCAGAACTTCTTGTTTTAAGAAGTACTTTCACCAGTTTTTTTCGGTCGTGCAGCTCACAATAGTTTTTCGGCGCCATATTGCGGTGGTAATGCTTGCCGTGTCATTCTTACTGTCACGCAGTAACAATCGAAAGTACAACTGGTTTCACATTACGGGTCCGTTCACACCGTTTTGCGCAGGCGCTGCAGCAATATCTATGGCAATCTCAGGACAATGAGGAACACTTTCACCGCTATGGTAGTTCTTGTCACCTTGGTACACGGTACGGCTTCTGAGCTCCCGTTACAGTTACACAAATGTCACACAGGGTGATTCATACCCAAATTTAAAAATGTCTTTTCGGTGTTACTTAACATGCAACGTAAATAAATGTTCAGTGAACATACCAGAAGCGTTCCCATTGTTCCGAATATGTACATCAGACTCCGCCAAATTTTGAGTTTCCTCCACGATACAGAGCGGTTTTCAGTGGATCACTCTGTATGGACCCGGACACCTAAAGCTGTTGTAAACAGTTCTTGTCCGCCCCCTGGTGTCATTACGCATCAAATCGATTCATTTGTGTTGTATTTAACGACGCACGGACTACGTTGCGTAAGGAAGGATGCGGCCGTGGCCTGCTTTGAGGAATTAGCCTTAAGGAAAAGAGGAAAGCCACGAATAACATCAGGCAGGACAATCGGCCTCTGAGTAGAGATTTGAACCCAGGATACCACGAATGCAAAAAAAGAATGGGCACGGCTTAAACTTAAATTTGTGCCGAAGTTTCCCGACTGGCCCCATCTTGCAGAAGTCCTGGCCTCGTCCACGGGCAGGTATACCCGCTCGAACGCACATATTCGCTCAGTTCTGGTGCACTGACGTGACAGGAACAGCTGCCCGCATACCGACGGGATACGGGGGCTGGACGGCCGGGATTCGATTCTAGGCAGGGGCAAGGTATTTTTCTCTGCTACATAGCTTCAAGACCGGGTCTGGGGAGGCCATCCAGCTTCACATCCAATGTGTAGTATGGCTTCTCCCGCGGGGGGGGAGTGTAAAGCGGCCGGGACGTGAAACTGACCACTCACCACCAACTAGTGCAGAGGTCAAAAATGGCGGAACCATACCTCAACTCCTCCATATGTCTTCATGCCATGGTGCTTCATTAATTAAGCAGCGTAGGGGCTTTACCTGTTACATTACCGTCTGCAAGTCAACACCGATCTTTTCCATATACCCACCTTACCACATGATGAGAATAGTTCCTGAACTACTCGTCAGCTGCTCTTTTAATTGTGTTACTGAAACGAATTGCAGTAAACCCTCGCTAATCCGGCTACAGTTAATCCAGATGTCGGATAATCCGGACCGAAACATGAAAAATTCTGCTCACAGTTGAGTACATACTTGAAAAAGATACATGAAATTTGGGAGCAAGAGGGCTTTCAGGCTATGTTGGGGGCAGCTGGAGAGACTGAAACCACACAAGACTGGCTTGAGCTGGATTTCAGCTTGACACAGGACAAAATTGCTGCAGTGGTGTTATTTTATCTGTTTTCACCAGCGCTGCCGGGACAGAGCACTCGGTATAGCGACTGGCTACAGGCTAGACGACCGAGGGGTCGGAGGTCCAGTCGCGGTAGGGTCACTAATTTCTCTTCTCTACGTCGTCCAGGCCGGCTCTGCGGTTCACCCAATCCCATATCCAATGGGTACCGGCGGCTTTTCCCCGGGGCTAAGGCGGCCGGGTCATGAAGCTGACCAGTCACCTCCAGCTAGTGCCGAGGTCAAGAAAATGTGGATCTCTACATGTACCAGTAGATACTATAGGGTTCTGACGATGGTGTGTAACACACAGAGATACTGGGTTTTCAGACTTTATCCATCGTCCGGATTCTAAATAACTAAGGAAAAAACACACAACGTTTCGGAAACTGGATCTGCTTCTGTTCTCAGGTGAGGGAAGACACCTACTCTGTTGGGTCCCTTAGCCTCAGTCACTTCTTAGTTATTTAGAATCCGGACGATGGATAAAGTCCGAAAACCCAGTATCTCTGTGTATACATGTACCGTTTACTCTTATACCCTTAAGATGGAGACAGTATGTTGTTCCGAAACGTCAGTAAACATGTACTGGACTGAACTTGCAGCATATCCCTAGAACATCACCTAATGGGCAACAGGCGAGGGGCGATCCTTCACCTGTTTCTGCTGTGTCTTCGGTGTATAACGGTGACGGTGAAAGGAAGGCACAGGTGTGCGTGGGGCCGCGTGAGTGCAGCACTATCGAACTCCTACCAGAATCCGAAATGCATGATCGGGCTTAATACTCAACACATCGCCTTGAGGACGCCAACATGAAGACGACGCTGGTCTCCCTGCTCTTGCTGTGCGCCGTTGCTGTAGGTAAGATTGAATCATTTAACGTGACAGTAAATTAATTTCGAACTTGACTTACCCCTATATTCTCCAAAACGTACAAAAATAACGCCTAATGTGGAAATCATATCCGTCCGTCCGTCCGTCCGTCCGTCTGTGTATTTTAGACTTATCAGCTCCTAAACAGTTTTCCAAATTTGTTTAAGATTCGACATAGGAGACTAACCGAATTTTCTCCTGCAAATTCAGTTTTGTCCAAATTCGGGGGAAAAATACCTTTACATGGAGACCTGACTGCCTGTGTGTATATTTCGAGCACAGTTCATGAAACATGTTCCAAACAAAAAGTGTAGCGAAAAAAAAAATTAAGTTCCTGTCAAGCTCAGTAAAATGTTTCCTGTAAGACTTGACAGTTTTCGAGATGATAAAACAAACATTTTTGTCACTTTTTTATGTTATAAATCGTGACGCTCTGAATTCATGTCGATACAGTTTTATATTAGAGGTGTGTCTGTCCGTCCGTCGGTCTGCCTGTGACCTAACAAATTCTGCTTTCTTTTAATTCGTGGCTGGATCCTTTCGATAAAAGTCGATCAATTACGGCTTTCAGCCATATTGGCCTCATAATAAGATCCACGTTTCTACCTGACGCCATCAATGGAAGTTTCGTATGTATCGTAAACAAATCACATTTATACAGACAGCAAGTGGTAAGCTTAATTGACTTCAGACATTGTTGTGACGCCGTAGCGAGTTTTCTGTCTTACATCATGCAGTCTTGTTAAAGATCACTTAGATGAATTTTAGGATTCAAAGAGTTACTGCGGCACGAAATATTACCCAAATTAAATCCTCAATTACCAGTAAAGTGTCATGCGACTTTACGCCGTGGCCGGTGTACATAAGCTGAGCAGAGATGTGTAGGTAGTTACTACAGTGTAACAGCCCTGACTAGCCAACACACACTCACAGCCGCGGTCTCTACTTCAGCCCTCAGCTGAGGCCTGTCGCTTGGTTGCTAAACGGGAGGGAGCTGGATTTAAGAGCATGTACTAGTATTAAGAGGGGCACGCGGTAGCGTAGTTGGATGAGGCATTATGATACAAGCCGGAAAATCGCGGATTCGATTCCCAATGAGGTCACTGCATTTTTTCAATTGACCTAATCCATCAAGCCTCACAATGGCCCTGGAGTCGACCCAGCCTCTTAACAGAAATGAGTACTAGGAATCTTCCTGGGGGGACCGGCACGTAAAGCTGACAACCTCACCGCCATCTGTGAGCGGATTGTCTACAAAATGTGGGAGCCTCGACCTCTCACGATACTATGGGCCCCAGCGGCCTGTTACGTGGATAGCTTTATCCTTTTTTTAATAGTATTAAGAAGTAATGTAAGGGTGAGATGAAAAATTACGAAATTTTGGGGTTACCATAATGGATTGTATGTATGTCACGAACAACCGAACAGTCTCTTGATTCAGTGAGAACATTCATATTTTTTATGTGGATATGTGAAATGCAGTATACTATATAAAGAAGAGATTACTACTATTGGGAGATAGTGTTAAACGTCGGCCTCTATGTGTCATTCGGTAACATGTGGGGCTATGCGGACAGTTTTACCGTCACCGTAACAAACACAGAATTTGAAGGTTCTGGAAAGTGAAGCAGTGTAGTTTGGTAGATAGGTACCAACATTTAGGAGTAACCTACAGCTTCCATCTTCAGGGTAAAAGACAGTAATCTTTATATTCACGATCTTAGGAACAGCGCAGTTCTCACACACAAAAAACACGTGTAACGAGACTAATGGAATGTGATGCAAGATATCGACGTTTCGTACGAATATTTCGCTTCCATCTACACCGTAGAAAAAGGGATAAACTGAGTGTGATACACAATTATATTTGAAATGGGACGAATATTTCTTTTCTAAGTGTCAAACGGCTTTCGAAACTACAACAAATTAACGCCTGTGAGAAGAAAAACATAAATTTTGAAATGTGAGAGCAGACACAAAGATTCGCGTGTCACAGGGCTTGGCTTTTGTTTCGCAATGTCTGAACTGAACTAAGAGCTGAGTCAAGGTCGTCAGGAAAACATTCTGGACCACGGTACAAGCAGAGGAAGTCCTTGCGCGCGTAAGTGCATAAGCGTGGGCGTCAGGTTGGCATAGCGGTAACGGTCAAGCCCTCTCCGATCCTCGGTCGGAACATTGAATATTCTGAGGTGTTGTTTGTTGTTTTCCTCAGTCCCCCGATGCGAATGCCAGGAACGATCCCTACCAAATCCTTTCCAATTCATCATTCACCATAGTCCAAAACAGACAGCACCGTAAAGTAATCTAGCCGCCCCCCCAAAATATTCAACGAGCTAGTAACTAACTCTACGGAGCTGGGTCCTTCCTGACAAGTCGCTTGGGGTTGGACTGTTACCGGCTCTTTATGGAACCTGGCGGTTCATCACCGTCTTCACAAGATCCCGAAATTCTGAGGGCCTTGTGTAACATTTCATAACAGGCTGGGTCAATTACGACTCCCATTGAACCTTCCAGCCGGAAGACCAGCCCACGTCTGCTGTGCGCGAATTCGCAACAACCCTCCATATCCGGAGGCCGTCTCCATCCGCGCAACCTGAGCCATATCAACCATTGAATAACATTTACAAAAATCAGTTCCTACCTCACGGAAAACACAATGCTTATACGCTACACTCGATTCAATGCTGTATAGGAAAATACCAATCGATATTTATTGCGGGAACGATACGAAACACTGCGTAGAGAAAATATAGATTTTTCTTGTAATATTTAAGCAGGCGGTACAGATAGTTACCACAATACTTTGAAGGGTTAACATGACACAACGTCAACACAGAACATTCTCACCCTGGACAGGCTACGAAACCGTGACCATAGCGGCTCTAACAGGTACAAATATTCTTATGAAATATTATAAACCTCAGAGACAATTGTTTTAGGAAAGTCTATACAGTTCCAGCGCGCTCTACAGCTCCGAGCCTTTCACTGTTAGCTAACACGTGACTAGACTAGGTCAGCTGAACATGGTTTCTCTGCAGCTGCGGCTGAACCAGGGAAACTCAGCAGAATCACCATCATTGGCAAAACAGCCCTTTCTGAGCCATAGTCTTCCTTAGAATATTCAGAGAGATAGCATGCGGTTTTTTTACTTATTCCGATTTCGCAACAGCAATTTTATTACAGAGCAAGGTCGTCAGCATTGAGTCCACACCCCCCCCTCCCCCAACCTGGTGGACCAGGTCTTTATACTGCCACGTGATAGAGTGGCTATAGGCGGGGTTTGGAGTGGCAATCGCATTTATTGAACTCTTGAACAACTCGTGACTACACTTCACAAATCACTATCACGCACAGACTAGTGTTCTCAGTCACAGGGTCTTCGCTAGCCGTTGCTTGGTAGCGGCTCCCAACGGAGGAAGTTCCCCTTCCTCTGGGTTCCTGAACTGTCAGCTACTGCAACTCTCAACCGACTGACTTGCACAGAGAACACCACTTCCAACAGTTCCTCCAGTGTTGCATGGGTACGTTGCTTCGCGATGGCTCTGGTATTGTTGCGTGCTTACGAAGCTGTTGCCTAGCAACGGGCGTATTTTCAGAGCCGTTCCATAGCAACGACTCTCTCTGCTGGCTTCACAATTCTGGCATTCAGTAGACATACCACACTATATAAGTCCCCCAGTGACGGGGTGGCCCAGTTATATCCCCAGGCACTGGGCCCCCTTTCCGTCGCATAAGACTCGCAGTGATGTTGCTTTTTGCCGATGATGTGAATCTACTGGGTGATAATGTAGATACCATAAAGAAAAACACACAAACTTTAATTGACGCTAGTAAGGAGGTTGGTCTAGAAGTTCGTAAACACAGAGAAAACTAAGTATATGCTGCTGTCTCGTCACCAAAATGCAGGGCAAAATCACGATATAAAGATATGAAACAGACGTTTTGAAAATGTGGCACAGTTCAGATATTTGAGAACGACGATAACAAATCAAAACCTGATTCAGGAGGAAACTAAGAACTCGGGTAATGCTTGCTACCATTCAGTCAGAACGTTTTGTCTTCTCGTCTGCTGCCCAAAAACATAAAAATTAGAATATACAAAAATATTATTTTACCTGTGGTTTTGTATGGGTGTGAAATTTGGTCTCTGACATTAAGGGAGGAACATAGACTGAGAGTATTTGAGAACAGGGTATTGAGGAAAATATCTGGACCGAAGATTGATGAAGTGACAGGAGGTTGGAGAAAACTGCATAATGAGGAGCTTCATAACTTCCAAGCTTCTCCAAGTATAATTAGAATGATCAAGTCAAGGAGGATGAGGTGGGCAGGGCATGTAGCACGAATGGGGGAGGCGAGGAATGCGTATAGGATATTGGTGGGAAAGTCAGAAGGAAGGAGACCATTGGGAAGACCAAGGCGTAGGTGGACCGACAATATTAAAATGGATATTAGAGAGACAGGATGGGATGGTATGGATTGGATTGGATTGGTTTGGTTCAGGATAGGGACCCGTGGAGGGCTCTTGCGAGCACGGCAATGAACCTTCGGATTCCATAAAATGCTGGGAAATTCTTGAGTAGATGCAGAATTGGCGGTTCCTCAAGAAGGGCTCAGCTCTGTAAGTAAGTAAATACGACTCGCAGGGCTACGGTGGAGGTATTCTAACCCGCCTCCACACGGGATGAAAGTAGTAGAAGGACCGTGTTACAAAGAAACGGGAAAGTATCGATGTCGTGGCGTATTTGACGGCACTGCAGCAGGATTTCCTTTGAGAGACTGAGGTAGAACCATGAAGTTTCAGCGTCAGGAACGCAGGTCTCCGGATAAAGATTCGAAACGAAGACAGTCGAAATACAGTGAACGCTGGCCCTGGTGGACTGCGACGTTGGATAGCTCGTTGTTTTGATCACACTAACAGTCTTGTTATCATTCGGCGAGAAGTTCAAATGATGACAATCCTCGCTACATTACGGCGTTACGTAGCCTTGGTGCAGAAGCAATTCGCAGATGGACCGCGGACATCCGTTGAATTTGACTGCTGATTATTGTAGCATAAGAAATTTCTAACGTCAACAATGAACTAGGCGTGCTATGAAGAACGCGACGTTCCTTCAACCCTTTCGTCTCAATTTGATACGACTCGGATCGCACAGAAAACGACGGTATAACAATTCTTTTATTTTTGTGCGGTATTCTTTGCAGCCGTGTAAGATCTAGAAAAACCGAAGTGAACGGAGAAGTTCATGGAGGTAGGCCTAGGCCCACTGGGGCTGTAGCGCCAAGGAAAAAAAAATTCTTTGCAGCGGCAACGTTTTTACCGAACCACTGCCTAACAACGCTAGAGAAGGGATTCACATTTATGAAGTACCCCCTTGAGATGACTCAGGTGGCATGATATACATACCGAGTTTCATAAAGACTGGTTCAGGAAATCAAAAGTTAATGGAGGGGGGGGGTACACAGCGTGGTGATCGCGTAAGCCTGCTTTTATTTTATTTTATTTTTTTTTTCAAAATAAGGAAAGTGGAAAGTGGATGAGTCTGTGAAAGCAGGTGACGGAGTGGCTGCTCCGTGAAGCGGGCCGTGACTCTCCTTCACTCGGTTCTGAAGGTGATGCACCTCCGCGTCACCAGTCACACATTGCGTCACATGAACCAGCAGCGTCTTGTTGCGTGACGGAACTAAAAGCAACTTCACTTCCAAGCCACATTCATGAAACTATGCCAGTTCTGATACTTAATTTCAAGTTTCCAATTTGTATTCAGCGCCACTGTCGGATTAAAGTGGGGCAGTCACCCCAATAAAATTGAAATGGAACCCACAATTTTACCGAGACACATTGCTTCCCTAAAATCACGAAAATTTACTTCATACTTTTAGTTATTACAAGAAATAACAATAAGACGGGTGTCATAACATGAATTTGTTGCTTACAGGGGCCACCACGTTTCGGCCTCCTACAGAATTATCAGGTTTCTATTGAGATATGAGGAAGTTCTCTCATACAAGGGCATGGAGTATAATGCAATATGAAAATACCATTCTAGAGACAAAAGTAATGAAAGAATGCATTTGGATCGGTTAACGCTTTAACTGTCGGGAAAGTGGCATTTCTTGTGAAGTTGGTTGGAGTGTAAATATTAAGAAAGAACAACGCGGATGGGAAACGTCGGAGGGCAAATAGAGGGCAGAATTCAAAACCGCAGGCCTTGACATCATGTTGGTGACTTAGAATAGTACCATATTCGAGGAATAATAAGCCAAGCAAGACGAGGGCAACATTCTGTCTGCTGTATCCTATTAGACCCTGATGATGGAGGCAGTAAGTTCCTTCGAAACATGGGCGTCACATCCCAGAACAGAGTACACTTCAAGATCGAATACATCAGTAAAAACTGACGTGATAAAGTTGGATTTTTAGGACTCTTCAAGTCATGCATGTAAGGTTGATTGCTACATCAACTGAAGGGGTTAACGTCAAATGCCGCATGAGATGATCATGTTCAGTGAAGGTGAAGAGACTGGGGAGGAAACGGTAGCGGATTTCTTAATTGTACTTTCCGCCATTCGAGTGACGGGACTGAAGAAAAAGACAACAAATACAATGCAAATAATCTGTGGGCAGCATAATATATCACTGTTGGGAGCCAGCACAGCGCAGTCGACATAGCGACTGGTTACGCCTTGGACGAGGAGGTGTTGGAGTTCGAGTCCCGGGAGGGTCAAGAATTTTGTCTTCTCCACGTCGTCCAGACCGTCTCTGGGGTTCACCCAACCTCCTAGCCAATGAGTATCAGGGACTCTTTCCCCGGGGGTAAAGCGGCCGGGGCCTGAAGCTGACCACTCACCTCCAGCTAGTGCCGAGGTCAAGAAAATGTGGATCTATACATCCGCTTCCCCACACGCCTTCATTACGTAGTGCTTAATTAGTTAAGCACAGGGACAACTTTAGCTTTTAATTTGTTGTCTATTGTTAAGAGTTCCGATTCGCGTCACCAGAGCACCACAACAAACAAGCATGTCGTGAGTTCAAAATTCGAGTTTCGAATTTAAGCCCAAAAATCCAGGGGGTAAAGTGCAAGCAAGTTCGGAAGTCGTGGGGTCGAGGTAAGGATTCAACATTTCGAATGGTAGGATGATGGACGAACTGGAGAGAATGTGGAGGGAGGCGACCGTATAGCGATCAGCGTACTATTCCTGCATTTTGCCTGAAAGGGCTGATGAAAAGCATGAAGAATCTTAGCTAGGTAAATTGGTGTTTGAGCCCAAAACTCGAACCGAGCACCTCTCGAATACAAGTCTAGAGCATTATACAAACCTGCTCGGCAATGAATAAGGCGAACTGAGTTTAATTCTGTATTTATTTACGTGCTAACACGAATAGTAATAATAATAATAATAATAATAATAATAACAATAACAACAACAACAACAACTATAACGACAACAAATATTCTGGAGAATACAAATTCGGGATTGAATAGCAGCCCGTTTCCACCAAACGTTTCCTAATAATATCCCTGGCATCTTGAATGCAAAGAAAGCAAAAGCGGGAAAGTGGCTTAAGGAATAATAGAACTAGATCTGTGAACAATATGGAGTTTGAAATGAAAGTTACAAGAAAATTACAGGAAGGAAAGTACACACACACACACGCAAAAAGGGCGTAAAATAAGTGGCTGTTAACATAAGAACACGACTACTTTTGTGCTGGCTAGCAAGAAAGTCGTACCAACCTTGGTTGCCACAACTTCAGGAGTACAATTCTGCCCCTATTGTCAGGTATAATGTCACGGTTTAAGTGGGCATGAAACGTGACATAGGATCCGTGCCCCGTGGCGGTTTGCTTTCCAAATCAGCAGCGCCACCAACCGTTCAAATGCTACCGGAGCAGCAAGTCACTGTCACCACACCCATATACTAACGTAACGCCCATATGTATTAGCGGTATGAAAACATTAGGTGCTACACGCGAGATATCTGTAACATTGGAACACGAAACAAGGTACGCTAGATTCATACTATACTCCATGTTAGGCACCAACATTTTTACAGGAACCGATCATCCACCTTGACTATGGAAGCAGCCGGATCATCCCAAACGACAGTATCTGCCTACCAAAGTACTGAAGACCTTAATGTCCAGTCCAGTTGGTCCTCGCCAGCACAGTCGTTCTTGATTTCGGGCCCCATGGCCTGCTTTATGTTTGTTACAAGACTGTTTATGTGTTTGGAAATTGGGCCTCCTCTTCAATGGGAGGTGGGGTTTGTCTTTCTGAGTACATGCCACATTTGTTGCACCATAAGTCTGTACAAGTGTACCCGCACTCATGCAGCATCCAAGTAGGGGCATTTGGTACTCTGTAGACACCACATTCACTTTGTAACTTTACTGCAATGAATAATATGCAGGAAGCCTAAACTTATTTTACCACTCCGAAACTGCAATTAGTCATTTGCACAGTGGTAGCCCTGACTGCCACTAAGTTTAAGCCCCTTATAATTCCTGCATCTGGCTTCTCCTTGTCCAATTGCACGTACGTTTGGATTTAATACTGTTTTAAAATATGTACATAATTTTCTTTTTCTGACTGGGACCTGAAAGAGAAACTCACTCCATACTCCTGCAAATATGTACGGTAACCATGACTGTTAATATGGTAATGTTTATTTCAAGTATATGACTTCTATCAATGAAAGTTTTTGTACAATATAAAAATAACAACATGGCTGTCACGCATATCTTTTCTTTACTTTTTGGTTTGATGGCGATAACCAGTGAACCACTAGAGCTAGATATGTGGAATCTGGTACGAAGATAAGCACATGTATATATTGTTGCGTGTTAAAAGTGACTCTTGACGGGGTTTTGGATTGGATATTGGATATATTGACTACATTATAACACAATTCGTAATTACACTTAATTACAGCGCCATCTCCAATTTCCACAGCTTACAAATCGGTGGTGCATATGGACTAGTGTTTTCAGTCTGTTACAGTCTCCACTAGCCGTGTCCTGGTAATGGCCCCTAACACAGGGTGTTTGTTTGCATCCGCGTACAAGTCCTCTCTGAACAGCAGCTCCCTTCCAACTGAACTATTCTTGCTTCAGTTGTCCTCCTTATAATCCATTTGCATGGACTGAGCACAAAACACTGTTTCCAGCAGTGCCACTATCATTGCATGCGTATCCATTGCCACAGGAACTTGTTTAACAAATCATTCCCTAGTAACGATTCTACATGCTACAATATTGTGTATAGGTCATTGTTTGTAAGTGAATGTTGGAAACATGGCGACCGTGCGAATCAGATTAATTTTGACGTAAACAGAATGCGTACGCACTTACATGATAAGCTCTTCACACTAAACCACAATCATAATAGCAATAGATTTGTTATGTATAGAAATCTGAAGTATGTCTGATGAGCTTGTTCTGGGAACCCTCTCAGCCGTGAGATTGCACTGAGCCTCTGCTGCTGATTGCAGCCAAAGCTGGCGTCCTACTGCATGTGCCAGCCTGCCCAGAGCAACATGGTGTCCAGACATACCCACACCCTGACCTGTGTGACCACTTCTTCAAGTGCACAAATGGTACTGTGAGCCTGGAGCAGTGTGGAAACGGTCTGCTCTATGACGGCAAGGGCAGCGTGCATGAGCACTGCAACTACAACTGGGCAGTGGACTGTGGCACACGGAAGGCCGACCGTACGTATCCTGGGAGGGTGACACATATGTATGTCACAATGTAGCACACTACTACCCACCATTTAGGATATATATATATATATATACTGTATACACATACATACACACACACACACGTGTATATACATTTTATAAAACTGTAACAATTCTATAACATTACAAATATATTTTCATATATTCAACCCCCCTGAACACGTACCCCCAAATTTTAATTTATGACGTTGAAAGCTGGGCCCTACTTTCATCATATAATTCAGCATAAACATATTAAATTCATTGAAGGGTACTGCCTTCTGGGGGATATAACACTGTGTAGTCCAATGAAAGTCAACCGATGTTTTGTAGGAACATATCGTCTCCATCTTCAAGAATTGAATAAGCCAAGCAAGAAACCAACATGATAGCAGATGGCAAGCAGAGCTCTTGCTCGGATTAGTTTTCGATATAAAGGTGATATATTCCTCCGAAACATTGGTTGATTTTTAATGGAGCACACAGTGTTATGTACTCTTCTTAACCACTGCTGTGAGAACCTCAAATCTTACACATTATATTTATTGTTTTTATTCATAAACACCTGATGATGGTCAAAAGAGATCGAAACATGTAGCGTGATTGATACAATAAACTGATTGCCTTATTGTTTTCATTTCCCCTCATAATTAAAGTATTGTTGCTGTGTGATGGTACAAAAAGTTTAATATCTGAAGGAGGGCAGGTCAGCCTCTGGAAATGCTGATTATTTACCTTAGTGTATTACTGCAGACCTTAACAGCAGTTGCCAATGCTGCTTCACCTGTTCTAGTGACCCCAATCAGTACACCAGGCTGCCTATACCAGTTTGGCATATACCCTGAGAGCGCCCAGTGCAGCAACAACTATATCAAGTGCGCACATGGCATTCCACAGCTGACCCCTTGTGAACCGGGCCTTGCATATGACGATAAAAGCCACAGCTGTAATTGGCCTGACCTGCTGCTCGACTTCTGCAGTCCTGAAGGTAATACTGCCACCAGGCTGATGTCCTTCCTTATATATTCATCAATCTGCCACAAAGTATTAAAAACTTGGGCAATGATACTAAAAAGTTTAAATCAGAGTTAAAGAATTATCTACATGCTCATTCCTTCTACTCTTTAGATGAATACTTCAATGTAAATAGAGAATGATGTAAAATTAAGTTATATTAATTTTTAAGCTAAAATTGCCTGTACTTATGTATGTAACCTTTTGACTTGTTCTGTATCCAAAGGTACTAACCTGCTTAGGATTTATAGAATGTAAATAAATTCAATTTAATTCAATTCAATTCAAAGAGTATGGCCAAAGTGACAGGATGATTCAGTTGATAATGTTGAGTGAGTATCAGCAGCTTACAGCATTGAATGGTAGGGCACGGTTGCATTTTATGTGAATTCGAAATAAATATTAATAAAGTCTCACTTAAGTTTGAAACAACACAAATTTTTTCCCATGAGAAAACTTATCTTGCATTATGCAAGTTCTAAATTATGCCTGGTCTTCAGGAATACATCCCCCGTACAAGATGCAACTGTGCTCTAATGAAATAATTAGAATATGGCACAAAATGGTCATGGCCAGGATTGTTCAGTCAGTACAGTAATTTGGCAATGGGCTAGATCAAGGGTCTCCAAACTACGGCCTGCGATGTCATTTTTATCTGGCCCGTGAAAGAATTGTGCAGAAATGTGCCAATTGAACTAATTTTCCAATGAGTACTGGTAAAAAATACTTGTTCATAGATTTCAAATTCAGTAATTAAGATTGTGTTTAAAATATATTGATATTCCATATTATGTAAATATTAATATTATTCACAATTTTACTAATTCTGGACCGTATACTACATGGTATTTCTTCGTACTTGTTCGGCCTCGATCAGCCAATGTTTCTTCATTGTGTTATCCACCAACAAGCACTTTGTGGAAAACACGTTGATATGAGCTCTGTTTTAAAACCTGTTATTTCTATCGTTAATTTCATTCGCTGTCATGCACTTAACCATAGCCAGTTGCGGTCTTTTCTCGAGGAATGTGATTCCGAGCTTATTGACCTGACATATTATATTGCAGTTCGATGGCTTAGCTGTGGAAAGGTTCTTTCATGCTTCTTTGAGCTCAGGAATGAAATTGATATATTTCTTACCGAGGAAAACCATCGCGAACCGCTTTTATCAGATACCGAGTGGCTTTGGAAATTAGCATTTTTTGCTGATCTGGTAAACCATATGAACAATTGGAATTTAAAGTTGCAGGGTAAAAATTTATTTGCACCTATCAAGGCATTCAGAGCAAAGTTGATACTTCTGGAAAGCCAAGTGAAATTGTAGCTTTGTTCATATGCTATACTGTGCAGAGTTGCATAAATAGGGTGAAGCTGAATTTCCTTCCTCGTTTGCAAATTTAGTCATTTCAGATTTGAAAGAACAATTTTGGAAGCGATTTGCTGATTTGGATGCCAGTGCTCAGGAAATTAGATTGTTTCAAAATCCATTTGACTGTGATGTTGCAGATGTCCCAAGTCAAATTCCAAATGGAAATTATTGAACTTCAGGAAAATTATCATATTAAAGAAAAATACAAGGAAGGAAATTTGATCAAATTTTATAAATTTCTGAACTCTGAGCAATTTCCAAATTTAAAGAAATTTGCTTGTAAATTTATCTCCATTTCTGGGATGACATACCTGTCTGAACAAGCTTTTTCCCAGATGAAGTACATCAAGTCGAAATACAGGGCAAATTTATCCGATGAACATTTAAAGTCTCTACTTGTGATTAGTGTTTCAAAATTTGAACCTCAATTTAATCAGATTTTAAGAATGCAAAAAGAGTTCCATCATTCACATTAATTGTTTTATTATAATTTGTGATGAAAATATGAGCATTTGCTGCTACTGTCTGTTGTCATTAATATACAATAATTTATTCTCACATACTTTGTATTTAGTTTATGAAATTCTGTGCTTTCAATTAAACTCATATACCTAGAGTTATTAATTTCTCATTTTATCCAGCCCATTGAAAGTGCTGAATTACCTAATGTGGCCCGCTTTGAAAAGTTTGGAGATCCCTGGCCTAGATGATCCACAAATTGCCAGGGACTGTGGCTTACACAGCCTCCTGTTCCATGAGTACTGGGAGAATTAATTTACATCTTGTGAGCACACTTGTTAGGGTGACCTCAGGAAACCTCCTCTGTGTTCTCCAGTTGCCAGACTGCTGGCTAGAAGTCACTGTGCATCCAGATGGTGCCTGTCACTGGACATCTCAAAACGTTTTCTCCAGGCAAACATGGAGATGGTACCCAAGTTGCTACTGCGTGCTTCTCATGGAGCCCTTCACATTTAAATTACTCAGAATTACAGTCCTTTGTTATAAAGGACAAGAAATTAATTTCCAAATTGTACAATTTGACACTAATTTGGGAAATCAAAGTTCCACGGTCCCTGTCTCAAGCCCCTAACCATTATAACGTCTTCACTTCCACACTGCCCTTATCAGAAGCACAAGAGGGTGAAGCCTAGGAACCTTCTCACAGAATTATACTCTCTCTCTCTGTCTCCTCCCCCTCCCCCATCAAAATCAATGAAGTGTTTGTCACTTGTACCATGATGTTCCCATTCTGTGTATTCCTTAATTTTGTACCTCTTCTTCTTATCTTTAGACTTTCATGTTATTTCATGTAACATGTATTTCTTGATCAGGATGATCAAGGAACTTTCATTTTGATTGGGCCAATTAAATAAATGGTGCCATGATATTGTTGGAATAACTGCTGAGAACAGGCAGCTCTGTACACAGAACTGAATGTGCATGAAGAGCCTGGAAATCTCTCACCTGTATGTTACTGTGATTTCAGCCATTGTTGGATTCAAGTGCCCAGATAAGGTGCCAGCTCATTCCATCTCCGCCAAGTTTCTTCCATTTCCGCGTTTCCCTGTCCCTGGAGACTGCGGCCGCCTCATCACCTGTGTCAATGGTCATCCCCGACTTATCTCGTGTGAAGCAGGCAAGGTACTCGACGAGTCTACCCTCACCTGTGAGGACCATGAGCTTGTGCCCAAATGGTGAGTCTGAATCCCTTCAATTTTGTTTCTTCAATGATGCTTCCTAAAACAAAAGTCATATTCTGTAGAGTGGAGCAGGAGGATAATTGTGAATGACAGAAAAGTCATGGTCTACTTATGACTTTATAAATTTTTTTAAAATGAAGCAGCAAATCTGCAAATAATGGAAACTAAATGATCACAAAGTTTTGGAGAATGGGGAATGGTTACCAACATTATGTTCAGAAACTTTTGTCTTCTCATCTATCATGTAAACACACAAAGATAACAATATGTACCACCTGCTTTAAACATTAAATACCCTACACTTTGCCCACACAGTGTGTGTCATATGATCCTTACAATACAGAGCAATTATTTCCCTAAATAGCATTTATGGTTGGACTTTGTAATGGAGATCCACTGTGTTTTCTGTGTGGCAGGCACTGAATTTTTTAATGTTACTCAATTGAAATCAATGTTTCAAACAAATATTAAAATATAATTTTACATTTTGTTTTGCAAGGGTGTGAAACTTAATCACTCACCTTGATGAAAGAAGACAGTTTGAAAGTTGAAAAAATGCACAAATGAAAAGGTATAATATTGTTGCATGCCAAAAGGAATCTGGAATGTATACTTCCATAGAAACACAATTAACAGTGGGCTGTTGCTTAAGCAAAAAATGTGTTTCCCTGGAGATGAAATGACAACAAAAGATTCGTTGCATAACAGCGGCCGAGATAGCATAGTCGGTATAGCAACTGGCTATGGGCTGGATGACCGAAGGGTCAGAGTTCGAGTCCTGGTAGTGTCAAGAATTTTCTTTTCTCCACGTCCAGACCGGTTCTGGGGTCCACCCAACTTTCGATCCAATGGGTACCGAGGGCTCTTTTCCAGGGTGTAAAGCAGCCGGGCTGTGAAGCTGACAACTCAGCTATACATTGATTCCCCCATATGTCTTCATAGCGTAGTGCTTAATTAGTTAAGCGCAGGGACAACTTTACTTTTACTACCACGTTTAAGCACAAAGTGATGATAATACCTCACATTCTGGAAGGGGAGGCTTATTCCTACAAAATAACATGTCAGTTGCAGATCGAAACTGTGTCCTCTTCACACAACTGTATGTGGACCCTCATCAAACTTGAAATGTTCTTGGATGTGATAAGAACATAAATTACCAAATACAAGCACAGCCTTGCAATTCCGCTGCACTTGCTCCCCCTTTTCTGGAATAATCTTTAAAACAAAATGTGTTCAGTTTTTCCTACCCTTTATACAAAACATGTGTTGCTCCCAGTAAATATTTGGTGAGAGTGACACATTCAGAAACTCACGTAGGTCTTCATGTAAAGTAACCGTTTTTGCTGCCAGACTTAACTGAGGTTCTGATATATTCAAAAACTTCATTAGAATCCCGAGCATCAAATGTCATGAAAATCAGTTTGGAAATTTTTTACTCATTGCACATACACAGAAAGACAGACAGATATACAAATGGCTGAGCTAATTTAATAGACATCTTGCAAGGCTGCTTAAAAGAAGAATGAGAATGAGTGTTCGAATAGCACCCAAGACCTCTGCTGCAATGCTGCCACATTGCCATGACAGCCACACACTGCAAGAATACAGAGCAAATTTTGTTATATCTGTGGATGTCCTCTAGTACGTCCACACTAAGAAAAAGGTAGTGTATGTCCATGATTTATTTCAACATTATTAATGGTAGTGTATGTGTTATATATACTACCATCTGTGAGCCGATTGTGTAGAAAATGTGGGAGCCTCGACGTCACACAACCCTATGGGCCTCCATGGCCCGTTACACAGATATAGCTTTACTATATTAGGTTAAAATATATGCATGTTTCAGCAAATTTGCACAGCAGTGGTGCCAACAAGGTCACTAGTCATGTCCCTTTGTTCCTCCAGCAGCTCTTGACCTGCAGGTGATGAATATCGCATGCTATGACTGGAGAAATTACATAACAATGGTTTGTGACCACAGTCAGTGCAGTGTTACTAACAAGATGCACAGTTCTGATCTTAGTCTAGTTTTGTTATGTACACTTGCCTGTTATAGACAGACCATTCACCACTGGAAAGCATTTAAATAAAGGAGCTGAAATGAATATGAAATCAAAACTGCTGTTAAACAGAAGAAATTATGTTATACCAGAATTGTGATGGATGTTGTCAGCTGCCTGGAAGTTTGACATGTCAGTATTTTCCACCATCTGTTGTGTGAGGTATATATGTGTATCAAATGTACCTTGTACTGTGGGCAGTGCCTAAACATGATACTTTTGCATAGGAAACCTTCAGAGATTGACAATTGAAATACTTTCCAGGCTAAGGGAATGAAACAGTATTTTTGTGAGATGCAGAGAAATGTCAGTGTTCATGACACAGCATCTTGCAGGGGAATAAAATGAGAGCTGTTTTTGTTTCAGTGCAAACTATGTGAGGAAGTGAGGCTCCACAGGCAGAACCTTCCACACTGAGGTCAGGAAGAGAAACAAGAGTCATCAGTTCAAACATGTACAGTTGGTCATAAAAGTTCAGTAATGACAGCCTGTGTATTTGATTCACACATTAAAAATAAATTGTGATATTATAGGGCCAAATTACTTGTTTATAGATATATGATAATGAAATTACTCACAGAATGCTTTGATCAAAGAAAGTCAGTGTAGAATTCCCAAAACTGATGAAAATCTTTATTGAAGAGCAGTGGTAACTCTGTGTGCTGCTGGCCGTTTAGCATTTGACATGTTTGCCAGCAGAATATTTATGAGTTTTATACATTTTTCAGAATAAAAATGAACATTTTCCTGAACATCACTTAATATTTGTAACAGAAATAGGCATTTTATACAAAGGATTTCTTTTCCCCTTTCTCCTGATTTTTTCAACTCAAGAAGTTGGTCCTGCAATCCCATTCCAATCTTCAGAAGTTTAAAATTGATCTTCACATCTACTTCGAGATCTCCCTACATCTCTCTCTCTGTTTAATTTGGAATTATACTGGTGTACCACACCCCAAACTACATGAGCATGTGCAATCTGATGGGTGACATAAATACTGTTCCCTTTACTTGGCACTTCTTGTCACTGCTACATGCTTCAAGAAATAGCAATGAACAATTTGGTGAGAAGTAATGTTCAAGAACAAACACGTCCTGTTGGTGAATACACCAAGGCTGCATCTGCACAGCTAGCAAAGCAATAGCAACCAAGGTGACACTGGCTCAAATGTTGGGGGAGTTCATTACACTTGGAGTGGAACAGGCATCTGATTTTATCTGTGTAACTTTGTACGAGACTGTTTGGGCTCAATTGTAAATGGTACATCTTCTCTACAATATGTTAATTTCTTCCAGGTAATCTTATATTTATAAATACTACTTAGATCAGCTTCGAACTTTAAAGTATAGTAATTAATTTAATACATCCAGATAAAAATATGTATTTTACTTTGTGAGCATTTTACTGAACAAAATCAGAATTATTATTTTGCTTTATATAGGCAAGAATCTGGTATGGTGGTACACATTTTAAAATAACTATACACCACATATTTCCAGGCGATGAATGTTCCTCTGTTTGTAAGATACAAAACCTTGAATAATTAATTATTAAATCTTAATTTCTATTAATGTTTTTTTTTTCACTCAACATTGCTAGGGTTATAGAAACAAGATGATATGACAAATTGGTGTGAACAATGCGATTTACCCACTCACCATTAAAACTGGCAGCACATGGAGACATGTCTTCATTAGTATCAGAAATCATTATCAACAGAATTAACTGGCTGATCTTTGTAATGGAAACATGTGTTTTCTGTGAGACAGGAAGTGAGAGAACTTCTGAATATTATTTAAATGATCTAAATGAAAATATGCACTGTAATCTGAATAAGATAATGCATTTGGTCTAACCACCATGGGGCACCAAAGTGGCACACATGTATCATAGTCATAAGTGCTTTTTACTACATGATCACACTAAAATTTTTGAGGGACAATAATATTCTGGTGTATTATTTTCAAAATTAAAATGTGTGCTACCATAATGATTTTACTTAAGACTAATGATTAAAGAGCTTACCTGATAATAGCTTTCAGGTTCACATTGGCTTCACAAACAACCACCATATCACTGATATTTTTGGCAGGAATAGAATCTTTGAGATATCTCTTTTTGCAGAACATTTTGAAAAAAACTCATGGAAGTGTACTCAAAGCTAACTTTTGTGAATGATGAAAACTGCCTTCAGAATTCAAAAGATAGCTGGATCTTCTCACTCATCCATAAACTGTTCATGACAGGAGAACACTCACTTGGTCGGTGAATTAGTTCCAAGCAGAAACGGAACTGCAATAATTTCAGTATATCTCAATATCACTGGAGCTGAAATATAATATACGTTCCACCCATCTAATGATATTGTTCTTGCTGATCTCCACATTTATTTACGCCTTGTTTTTAAATATGGGGCATGTATGGTAGACTGTCGGTATAATGGGTTTACAATATATGCTAACATGTTTACGTACTGAGTGACCCAGGTAACTTGAAGATTTTACTTCTGTATTGGTCATTATATTACGGCTGCCAACTGTTATAAGTTTATGAGTGAAGACCCAAAACCTTTTCTTCGAATTTGCCTCCAGGAAGTCCACAGTGTCAGGGATTTGGTTTATGCTAACAAGGTGAGTAACAGCGATAACCTGAGACTTGATAATTATTACTTCAAAGTTTCCTCCAAGGTTAAAAAAAGGCTGAGAAATTCTGTACTAGGTTATTACACAATATGCACTTGGCATCTGAATGGCCAATGCAAGCGTGAGCTTGGCCGGAATCCATTATAGAGAAACAACGAAAACTTCCACAGGACGCTGCGCTAGGAAAATTTTCAGCGTTCCATGTTTTTCCTACCGACTAGCAAAACAAGCATGCGCACTTGTTAATTATTAAACACAACACTCAAACATATGTATAGACATAACGTCTTCGTTAAAGCGTTAATCTTACATCAGAAAAGAGCCATACCATCACTAACGTAAGACATTTTTGGCGCCCAAACCTCAAAGCGCCACAGAGTACTCTCCCGACCCTTCCGACCTGACTCATACAAGCTACCATGGCACTGAGCAATTCGATGGACATAACCGTTGCTGCGGATGATAAAAAGGGTAAAAAAGGATGCGATTTGATTGGTTACCGTTCGCAACACATACGGCCGGTTTGAATAGCAGGCGGACGGTAGAAATATGAAAGAATAGGAATACTTAAGCTCTCTGCTGTTAATAATAGAATTAATACTCGCAGAGACTATCAGGTAATAGTTCTGAGGTGAGTAAGCGTTGTTATTTTAAGAGGGATTATGTAAGCTTCAATAGCACAGACAATGGTCAGCCCACTCCAGTTTAACAGATTTGCTTTGGAACTTAATGGTGGTTAGGGCAGTTTATTGTAAGGGAAGTAATTGAAAGTCATCTTCTAGTTTTGTACTAAAAGTTGACAGGAGTTTGATGGCTTCGGATTGAGAATTACAGTTCTTGATTATGAACTGGAATAAGGAGGTACTGCATGGTGCATGGACACTGGCTTTTGAGTGAGTATTTTGCAATTTGAAAATTTTGAATTCGTATTTTCATTGGATAATGTGCTCTCATGGAGTTGGTTAATATTAATGAACTGTCTAGTGTATAGTAAGCAGTGCTGCCATTGCTAGTAAATATATTATACTTCAGAACTGAGTATTGTTTATATACAGTGGAACCTCGCTTAACGAGCATAATTCATTCCAGAATCTTACTCATAATGCGAAACACTCGTTAAGCGAAACAATTTTTCCCATATAAATTAATGTAAAATACGATAATGCGTTCCATGCCGAAAAATTACAAAAACAATTTATGTATAACGTTTATTCAAAGAAAATTATATATACATTGTTAAGGAGCGTGAATCATCATCTTTTCTTCTATGTGGAATGAACCAACATGAAATGCGAATTTGATTTGCAGAAAAAAAAAACGAAATAATTAGTTTATTATTTATGATATATATCTAATTCTTTTTTACTAGAAAGCTGTTTAGAGACATTTGTTTTTGCTGACGCTTCAAAATTTGGTGAAAATGTGACACAGCATTATCATTAAACAAATTTGTAGCGCGCATAGCCACTGCCTTATTAGGGTGATGCTCCTCAATGTACGTTGCAACAGTTTCCCATGCTTTCAGCATTTCTTTTATTGTTCCAGAAGATTGTTGCTTTGCTGTTACCTCCTTGTCCTCCTCCTCCTCTGACAAACTCTCCTCCATAACTTCTTGCTGTGAAACACAATGCAACTCCATAAGCTCTTCGGTGGTCAGCTCTTGATTGTGCTATTCCACAAGCTCATCGATATCATTGTTATCCACCTCCAGCCCCATGATCTTGGCCAAAGACCAATCTCGTTGACTACAAGCTCCACAGGTACTATCTCAGACCCCTCAAAGTCACATTCGACAACGCTCTCCGGCCAAAGCTTCTTCCAAGCAGAAGTGAGGGTTCTCTTGGTAACCCCTTCCCACGCCTTTTCGATCATCTTGAGGCAGGCAATGATGTGGAAGTGATATTTCCAAAACTCTCTGAGAGTGAGATTGGTCCCTTCAGTCACCTGAAAACAACGCTCGAAGAGTGCATTAGTGTAGAGCTTCTTAGAGTTAGAAATACGTAACCTGCTGGTCCATAGGCTGGAGTAACGGAGTGGTGTTGGGAGGCAGAAACTGGATCTTGATGAATTTAAATTCTTCAAGGAGGTCATCTTGTAGGTCTGGAGGATGGGCAGAGCTTTGTCCATAACAAGCAATACATGGAGTGGCAGATTCATCTCAAGCAAATATTTTTTCACAGAAGGACCAAACACTTCATTGATCCAATCAGTAAAAAGGTCACGTGTCACCCAAGCCTTGTTGTTGGACCTCCACATCACATTTAGCCTGCTCTTCTGGACTTTACACTTCTTGAAGGCTCGTGGAGTTTCTGAATGGTAAACAAGAAGCGGTTTAATTTTCAAATCGCCGCTTGCACTGGCACAAAATAGCAGCATGAGACGGTCTTTCATTGGCTTATGGCCGAGCAATGCATTATCCTCTGCTGTTATATAGGTTTGCGTCGGCATCTTTTTCCAGAGGAGACCCGTCTCGTCACAATTAAAACCTATTGCGGCAGGTAACCCTCAGAATCTACGAGCTTCTTGAAGTCGCCGATGAAGTTCTCTGCTCCCTTTGTGTTGGAGCTTGCTGCTTCACCGTGCCTTACAACGCTGTGGATGCCGGTTCTTCTCTTAAACTTCTCGAACCACCCACGGCTTCCCTTAGATGCTTCTTCTTTGGCCGTTGATGATCCTGGCGTCTTCTTAACAAGGTCGGCAAAAATCACTTTCGCCTTCTCACAAATGATGTTCTCGTTAATAGTGTCGCATTGCAATTTCTTTTCGTTTATCCATATGAGGAGCAACCTTTCAACATCGTCGATAATATGTAACCATTGCGTAGATATTCTTGGCACTCCCTTTGAAGCATCTATCTCCGTAATCTTGTCCTTGTTCTTGAGGATAGTGCAAATCGTTGATGTAGACCGACTGTATGTGCGTGCTAGATCAGCCACGTTCACACCTCGTTCTCGCTTTTCAGTGATTTTACTTTTCATTTCTACGGTTATTTTTATTCTCTTATGGCTGTCTTTTTGCGGCTTTTTCTTCGGGAACGTTTTTGCAAGGGTTATTAAACTTTGCACAAAAAAATCACAAATAATATGTCTGAACACAAGTTTGGAAAAATGTGTGATCACAAGCGACACTAAGATGCTAGCGGAACGAGTGCTAAACACAGACTGATGTAGCAAGCGCATGATCCGGGACTTCCCCTCTCGTCACTCCTTATGGGAGTCATTTTTTTACAATTTGTTTTGCTCGTTATGAGAGGTGCTCGTTAAGCAAGTTTCCACTGTATTTTTTGTTATTGTCTTCTATGATGGGGTGGCACCACTGAAGGAAATCCATTCTCCATGGTGAAGGACTCTGTTTGGCATGAAGTGAGCAGAGAGCATCCAGGAATTCATCACATGCCCCTTGCATGTCACCTGTGAGAAGCTTGACTGCTCCGAGGAAGGAGTGCCCAAGATCCTTTCCTCTCACACAGCCATTGCCCACCAATTAGGAGGTGAGTCTCATGTGGTAGGAACATTATCGAGTAGGATTTTGAAAACAGGAAACGGGAGGGGCGTCAACATGATGCAAATTGTAAGAGAATTATAATAGTTTGTGATTGTTGGCAGCCCTGGAGGGTCGTCAATGGAGGAACTACTGTCTCAGCTGCCAGAGGATGTGATTGAGTCTGGTCTTAACAAGGAGGATCCAGGAAGTGTTCCCCCTCCCTTCTGCATTCCATCTACAGGGAGGGCATGTCACCAGGTGCCAGCAGCAGGGAGTCCGTGAAGCAAAGGTGTGTTGTCTCTGAAGCAGTGAAGGTTTTTTTATATTGTCACATGTAGAGGGCTACACGTGACAAAAATAACAAGTTCTAGATTGGATGATTGGATTTATTAGCACTTCGGTTATGATTTCTCTTAATCACACTTTATTATAAAGCCATCATTAGCCTACACACTTTCCAGTCCACCGTTGGACATGCATTAAGATTCTATATCTTTACTAGTTATCTCCTGGCAACTGATCTCAACACAGAAACTAGCATTTCAAATCACTATGAAGTCTTCTTATCTTCAATCACTCTGTACTCCTCTGTCCTAATCTGTACTCAACTGACCTTCACAATTCACTAAGGACATGCTTCTTTCTCGTGCTTGTACTCTCAACTGCATTGCACTACAACACACTTAAAGCCTTCAAATAACACAGTGAGTCTTCACTGGCCGACTTTTGATTCTTCTTCAACTATGAACTTCCCGTGGCCAACTTCAACTCTCCAGTCTAATTCTGTCAACTGTTGTGGCACCAAATGGCTTCAAGATAAGTCCTCAGTATGGACCACGCACAGAAAATACATGTCACATGGTCACTATCTCACCAGTCCATTGGCACACTGGCAACTGCCTATCAAAGAGCTCTAACATTCATCCACTTAGACACAGTTTCCATTGTTGCACACTGGAATGTGTTTACTGAGCTGTTGCCTAGCAATGCTTTGAGCAAATACTTTGCATTATTGTGATCTTCTGGTCATGATACTGTGTAGCTTGTCAGGTGGGTATCAGCCTGAGTTATGTTACACTGAAATGCTGGGTATTCTCGTATAGGACTACATGATACCGCAACCTACAAGATCACAGTATGGTGGGGTAGATTGTTTGTAAGTTGATGCTCAGAGGGATAGATTCATTTGCATGTTTATTGCTGATGCATTTCTTGTGGAAGATTATTTTAACAGTCTGTCATGAACCTAGCACAAATGCTGTTTATGAGTAGGGATTTGCAGCTGTGTCAGACTCCATGCACTGTGAAACTGTTAGGTTGAGAGTTTGTTGCGTCAAAAATAATTATATTGAAAATTTATAGCAAAAAGTTCCTGATGTACTGAAATACTGTATTATCCTAACTACAGTGGTCCCATGCCTCATATACTTTACATTAAGGTTCTGGAAGGATTTTCAACATATGTCATGAACTGTTACTGTTAATGCAAGGAGTAGTTGGACATCCTCTGAAAAATATTTATTCCCGTTGACAGGAGTCTGGTGACATCCAGCGAGAAAGTCATTGTTCCAACAATGTCATTGTGTTGGCGTTGAACAAGGGTGATCTAGGGAGGCAGCTCTCTCCTCCCTGCAAAGAGGACGTCGACTTTAGACTCAGGAAGGATATGCATCAAATTCTCCTCGTTATGGTCTGAAAACTGCAAGGAGTTTCTGCAGCAAATGTACATGTCACACGTAGACCTAATTAAGGGGTGTGTTGTGGGGAAATTGACAGTCAGTAGGGCTGCTTTGGTTTGCATATTGCAGTGGAACGCCCCTTTAATATTCTTTCAGTGACCCCAAGTCAATACTCTTGGTGGTAAATTCCTTCCATTTAAGATTTTCATCACTTTAGAGTCCAAATGCACTTCTTCCAAAGGAAACCTTACACATAGGGTGACCAACTCTCCCGTATTAGAGCTAATTTTTTTGGATACTCCTGGCTCCCGTATTGACCTTCTATTTCTCCCGTATATTTCATTAACAATCAAGGTCGCAAAATTTAAATTATATATTATTCCCGCCAAATACATTCCAATATAAACTTTTGTTTAATATGACAGTTTAGACTTAGAGGCACTCATCAATAAATATCGAAAAATTACCTCTAATAATCGACAGAAAGTTTAGCATATACTAATCGATAGTGGAATATCCGTTTCTGGATTGTAATATTTTCTGTTCTTGCTTTTTGCCGTGTTCATCCTCGTGCTTTTAAATAATTACCAAATTGAATCCATTTTCATAATGAGTAGTGACAGTGAAAGTGAAAGCAACAATGCAAAAACTCCACCTAAGAAGAAAACTAAATATTTGTGTGTTTACTTGAGAAAATGGGAAGAACAATATTTATGGTTAAAGTCCATGCCCTCCAACGTTTCAGAGCTTATTGTATACTTTGTAAACATGAGTTCAGCATCGCTCACAGGGGTAATACTGACTGCAGACAACATTCTTGCACAGAAGGGCATAAACGATAGGAAAGGGACGTGAAGACCTCTTCAAATTTACACCTCTTTTTCGGGAACAGCAGCAAAGACTTCAAAAACGTTGCAGGTGAGCTGGCATTGGTTTTCCATACTGTAAAACACAACATCAGCTACAGAAGTATGGTTTGCGCAAATAAGTTATCAAAGGATATTTTCCATGACTCTAACTTGGCTAAGAAGATGTCCTGTGACCGAACAAAGGCAGAGGCTATCGTGAAAAATGTTCTAGCGCCAAGAAGTGTGCAAGACTTCATTGATGTGTTGAAGGATCCAGCAAAATCGAGCCTCCAACCACAAAAACAGAATGATATTACTGCTGGTTGTGAGGTATTTTGACCCTCTTAGTGGTGTTAAAAGTAGGCTCCTGGACTTCATTGAACAAGCTGATGATACAGCTAATGCTACCCATAATTTGATCAAGTCTTCACTTGATACACACAAGTTAGATATAAAAAATCTAACTTCATATTGTGCAGATAATGCAAATGTGAATTATGGGAAGCATAATTCTGTGTTCGAACTACTACAAGAAGATAACAAAAATTTGCTTAAAGCAAACTGCTCAAATCATATATTGCATAATGCCACAAAACATGCATCTGATGGATTAGATGTGGATATTGAAATGATCATGTTAAAAATATATGGGCACTTTTCGGTATCAGCAAAAAGAAGAGGAGTTTAAGTCATTCTTTGATCTTGTCGATGCCGAGTGGTTGGAGATCGTTCGTCATGTGCCCACTCGTTGGCTTTCCCTAACATCAGCTGTGGACAGATTAATACAAAACTGGTTACCTATTAAGAGTTATTTCAAAAGTGTGAATGACTGTCCAAAAATATTAAAAAAACATTTCAGTGATAAAGATCCAGAAAA